TTGTATTTTTTTTTTTTTGATGTTCAATCTATCATTTTTAATTATGGGTCAAGAAAAACAAAAATAGGTTAGTAAATTTGCTATCTACCATCAATTAATTAGATGTACACAATCGGGTACAGAGGCGCCAAATGGGTTAATGTTGGTAGAGCTCCAACTATGTCTACTTTATTATTTTCAATCTTTATATATTTCTATCTTAAATGAAAGATCGCAAATAAGCAGACGGTTTACCAAACGGAAAGTAGTCACAGTCGCCCATGGACATCTGCAACATAAAGGATGTAGCGGATGCGTTGCCAACTTGTTAGTGTAAGAGGAAAAGGATAAAAAAAAATGATAGGGCAATCGAATCTCTCACTTATAGGACGAATCGCAGTCATTAATGACTACTTCACGCCAATCTTCTGTGAGAGAGTGGTACGTCCCCGGTCGAGCCAGTCCATGAGCAAAATGTAGTAACTTGACCACAGTTAAACTCTACTCCATTCAAATCCTTCTGTGATATCTCTATTGAATTAAGAACGACACGCGAAACACTTTGAATATGTTTATAGTATTAATGTTTATATCAAAGGTATATACTATATACTTTACAAAAGTCTTTTCCCATTTCTCATTCATTGTCATCGGCCTATCAGAGCCCACTGCTGAGCAAGGCCTCTATCTCACATGGAGAAGGTTTGAGCATTAATCACTACGCTTGCTCAAGACGGGTTGGTGATTTCAAACTTATAATTGTGAAACTATAAGTCCAGGTTTCCTCACGAGGTTTTCCTTCACCGTATGTCAGTGATGTCTAAATACTCTCAGAAATGCATATGACTTCGAAAAATCACATTTGTACTTGCCAGGTTTGAACCCGCGCCCTCGGCAACGAGAGGCGGGCCCCTTAACCACTAGGCCACCGCTGACTTCTCATTCATTAACCTACGTTAAAACTATAATTCGCGGAGATTCAATACTAAAAACGCAAAATTGTATAGAAAAAAATTTACATACAACGTATTTTTAACAAAAAACAGGTGATAAAAGTTCTAGTATGCCCATTCATTTATATTTATCAATAGAGCTATACGTAATTTCATTCTGTATGAACAGCCTTAATAATAAGTTATGGTAGGTACATAATAATAATTTGTAAGACCGTCCAATTGTGCCAGTGTACTGGTCATTGAAATGTAATGCACGACGCGCATCACATACAAAAGACTATTGTTGCAAAGCTAATATGTTGATAAATTATCTGATATGAAATTTTAATAGTCACAAGTACTGTGATAGTAGGTACACTATATGGAATAACAAAAAGACGAACATACGTATAGAGACCATCACTCACAACATTAATGAATTTGGTTTAACAGATTTGTAAATTGCAACGTTCATGATCAAATATTTTTTATAACTAGCTCTTATTCAGTAAAAATTCTTATTTCTGAGATGAAATCTTAATAGTAAAATTATCGTCCGTTACTTCATGTATTATCTTCTTCTACCTGGCAATTTCCCAGCTATAGCCAGGTTCTGCCTTACATGTTGTGAATAGTTTTGGCAAATTATTTTTACAACCGGCCGCCTGCCTGACATCAACCCTCTTTGAGAATACATTAATCAGTGATGTCTAAATACTCTTAGACAGTACACATGACTTGGTAAAATCATATTGGTACTTGCCAGGATAGAACACGCGCCCTCATGCATGAGAGGCGGGCCTTTTAAATACTAGGCCACCACTGACTTCTGCTTCATGTTAAAATTCATCAAATAACTAAAATCCTGTGGAATGTTATTATTTGTAAAAAAATTTAATCTATGAGTTTTGTTAAAAAGAGCTGGCTTGTGAGCAATCTTCCCGAGATCCTAACACAACATTCTATTGATATTAACGGTAGTATATTACGTAAGACGCTACTTACTACTACGTAATACATTCGCTGTAGATCTTCTTTGTATACGGACGAAATAAACTTCTTCCTTCATCATGAACACAGCAAAGGTTTAGAACAGTTAGCCTGTCTCTATATTCACTCCAACTTACAATTTGAAGATCTTCAAACAAAGAATGAATAGAATTTTACAGAGATAGTGCGATTACCAACTAAGGCTATCTCTACTATCAAGAGGGATTATAAACAAGCATTATCCCGATGCAATAAAAATATATACCTATTATGTGAAATTATTGTATACATATACATGGAAACCTTCGTTAAATAATGAGTTCAAACAACGTCGTGACGCGATATTTCATCAGCTTCCTATATAATACTGGATGCAATTTATTTTAAATGGATGCGGCTGTTTTTATAATGTACCATGTCCATAGTTTCGTTCATCCGATATTACTACATAACTCATTTTACGCTAATGATCGTCTAAGTTAATTTCATGCGAGAACCAAGTAATTTATATTCAGCGCCATTATTACCTCGGATAAGCCTTTTTTAAGTTATAAAGACATATTTGATATTTATTTTCCATTTTTCACAGAGAGAAAGAATAAATCGTATGGTGAGAAAAATACTGAAGTGATTAATTTCATACAAAGTAGAATTCAGCGCTATTTTGAATTATATATGTATATATGTAGTACATTTAATGTTAGTTTGTTCATTAATAACTTATTGATTATTATAGAAGACGGTCATGTTGCAGAAGGTGGATGATGAGTTATTAAATGAGGAAGTAATAAACTTCGTACCGCATAAGAAATATATCACTTATTAATATTTCTTGTATAGTTTACATCATACACCTTTTTAAAGTGAACCGTCCAAGTATTTAAATTTTGTAGTATAGTTACAACAAAATAGTTTTAGTAGTAGTTATTATTATTTTACTTTTATTTCAAGTAGAATTTTATCGGATACAAATATTAAAATCCTCAAGAGGAATCTTATTATAGTTGAACTAATTTAAAGAAGTACAAGATTCCAATAACTGACTGACTGCCACATCTAGATTTGGCCCTGGACAGGAAAATTACAGAAGAATTGGTCGAAACAGCTTAACATTACTGCCTTCTGAATAATTTACAACAGAATTGGTAGCTTCTAAACCAGATAGTGTCATATGGGCTAAACTTTTAAGCATTTACCTCTCGAAAAATAAAAACATTAAAACTAACGCCTATATAATGAGATCTAATACTTCGCAAGTTTTTCTTCATTTAATTGAAACTAATGTTTTTCGGATATACTACGCGTTCTTTAGCTTTGAGCGTATAACGCGCTTTAGACAGGGGCATCATAAACCTACACTTGGGTCGCAAGTCCCAGGCACTGTTGAAGCTCCTCTCACTACAACGATGGACTCGCCCGCACGGTGAATCCATTGAATGCTAACAGGCTTCGTCTCTTTGTAATATGATCATATGACAAATAAAAAGACCAACAGACAGACATTCACATCTCATCTGCCCGTGATCACGGTTGCTCAAAAGTAGCCGACACTTCGGGAGTATGTAGATTTTTACTAAACAAAACATAAAAGATCCGAAAAATATTATTTCCATTTAAATAACACCCATCTTGGGTCTGTCACTAAAAGCTATATATAAAGCTATAATTTTTACGTAAATCTAAATAATATTCTAGACCCAGATATTATACCAAGTTGCCGCTAATATAAAACCAGCTCGAAACCTGTCTCGAAGTTAATTCTGTATATAATAATATGTATATATATATAAACACTGTCTTAACATTCTGTGCGAATACGTGTCGTGTGGGTAGGGAGGGCGTAGGACGAATGAATGACCTTAAAAGAATTAAAAGCCTCGGATGAAACGACTATGTAGAATAATAAAATATTATTAGATAAAATGAAAGGATTTTCTTTAATATGTATATTGAACAAACTATATAGTTACTAGCTTTCCGCCCGCAGCTTCACCCGCGTGGAGTTCGGTTATATCGCGTTTCTAAGAGAACCTTTCAAGAGTCTGGGATAAAAACTATCCTATATTCTTTCTCAAGGTCAACTCCATATCTGTACCAAATGTCATTAAAATCAGTTGAGTGGTTTATGTGTGAAAGCGTAACAGACAGACAGACAGAGTTACTTTCGCATTTATAATATTAGTAGGGATATGAAATTCTCATATAGAATCAGTATTATTGAATATACGCTGTTAGTAGAGGTGTTGTAAAAACATAAAACACTCATTATATAGTATACTAGCTGACCCGGCAATTGTTGTTTAGCCATAGAAAGAGTTTGGAGATAAAAAATTAAAAATTTTGGGTTTTATGTATTTTTAATGCCACATTAAAAAAATTCGTCTAAAAATTAAGGGTGAACAACCTTTATCACTTAGATGTATGAAAAATAGATAAGCGATTCTCAGACCTACTGAATACGTATATAAAATGAGGTAAAAATCGGTAAAGCCATTTCGGAAGAGTACGGTAACTAACATTGTAGCATGGAAATTTTATATATTAGATGTATATTATATTATTTTTTACATTTGAAGTAAAAACTTTTACACAGAGCTATCATTGTTAAAATTATACTAAAGAATCTTCATAGATTCTACTAACTGGTTTAATATGACCCTTTCTTCATCCAAAATCATTCAAAAATTGTATAGCAAACCGAAGCTTAACATAGGTCTATGACTGGGTCAAGTTAGTCGGATTCTTCAAGGGCATCAGTTGTTCATACAAATACCGTGACATTGACTCTGGTTCACGTGGCCGGCTGCTAGGGAACAGAGGGACAAACAAACAATGTACTACAACACCATTCAAAACTGTTTGCTAACTGTTACGGACGTGGTATTTCAATATTACCTTTTGTATGGCCAACACAATACAGTTCGCTTTCATATTGTAATTTAAAACAACTCATTTAATATACCTAAATTATGGTGTAATATTTATGACTATTATATTATGAACTTTTAAAGCTGTGATGAGTTTTGTTCAGACTTGATCAGTGTTCAAAATTGAACGATTTTGTTCAGACTTGATCGGTGTTATTCGGAATTGATCATGGAAAGCAAAGTCTCGCGTTCTCTAGACCATAGTAATTGGTGGGAACCAGATCATTGGAAGATGCGTTCTGGACTCATCTCCACTTCTCTGGAAGGGGCTGACCCAGCTGAAATAAGGAATGGATGGCTCACGTTATCTGACAATAAGGTACAAAAATAAACTCAACTTATATATTGTTTGCATAGAGAAAAAACATAAGGTACATCAATAATAAACTTGATTTACATACTAGCTATAGCGAAAAACCTATACATTATTAATTTATTTTTTACAGGTATTCCTTATAACTGTCTTTGAATTTAATATAAATTAGTTTAAATTAAATTTTGTTGAGGTTTAAATGATAATTGCTTAGAAATATTTTACGACATTTAGATATCTTAGACATCTTTCAAAGAATTATGAAATAACTGTTCTGAAGAGACTTATATAGTGATTTTAAACAATTGCTCACATCTATACAAATAAGGTGAGATTTAAAAGTAAATAAATCTGTGTTAATTAATAATAATTATCAATAAATATATACATATAAAAATAACCTAAAACTCGTAATATATAATATATAAATTACATAATAAAATATCAAAATAATAGCCCAAGTGAACTAAGATAGGTTACATATTATGTGTTAGTTAGTCATCGCGTGAGGCGTTACATCACAAGTGATCGTGACTCACGACCTTATATGGAGAAAACGAAACACACTGTTAGACGAAAACGATGCTTAAAGAATAAACATTCAATATATAATGATAATATTATTAAATAACTATTATTATATAAGACTTTCTTGAGAACATATTAAAATAGTTTATATGAATATTCATTTAGTCTGAGCTTCTGTTACACAATTGTAACCGAAACGTCGTCGGTTTAAATGTGAAATAATATACCAAATGTACGTAATATATCCGAAAATATTATGTAAGGTTTCATTTAAAATAATTTTATATATTTCTAGCTTTCCTCCCGTAGCTTCGCCCGCGTGGAGTTCGGTTATAGTCCGTTTCCAAGAGAACCTTTCAAAAGTCTAGGATAAAAAATATCCTATGTTATTTCTCAAGGTCAACTATCTCTGTACCAAATTTCATTAAAATCAGTTCAGTGGTCTAAGCGTGAAAGCGTAACAGACAGACAGACAGAGTTACTTCGGATTTATAATATTGTTTAAAATCGATTTTTATATTTAAAAGTAATTCCAAAGATGTCGTGCAAGGGGTTTAAATAATTGAAACAAAAAAATATGTTATCGAGATTGTTGAATATTAGTTAGATCTGTGCTCAGATTACTTTTAACTGTAATCAATCATTCAAGTTTTGAACAAAATTAATAATAAAAACAATTATACCTCGATATTACAAACATTTAGTAAAAAAAGACAGCTATTATATATTTATTCAGTAATATAAGAAAACTAAAATAGATCTAAGTTTGACGAAAATACAAAAGTAATTAAGTTGTTTTATCTCATTACTCTAAAATAGCGTTATCTTGTAAGTTCAACGAGCTTTTACTGACACAGCCGTCCGGTTAACGGAATACATTAAAAATATAATTACGTAATGATAAACATAATAATATTATCGAAGGTGGCAAAATAATAACTAAGTAAGAATTATTTAATATTAAATTACCTATGTATTTCTTTTAGTCGATTGTCCTTGGTCAATAATAGAATGAATTTATCGATAGAAAACACAATGCTTTTTCTATGAAAGGAATCAGCTTAGATTTATGTTGATTCTCATAGAAATAATTCAATATTACTGAACCGGTTTTCATGTAACTACGAAATGTAACTTGAGTGTACTTCAATAAACCGAAATTAACCTGATTTGCGAGCGAAACTAATGGAAACAACTAGTATAGTATGTCAGCATGATAATGCATGCACTCCATGCATGATGCGTATGCATGCATCCAAGTACAGCCAGCCTCAATCCTCATGTTTATAACCAAAACAAATAAATTAATCTTTATATACCTAATATTAACGGAGTAAGGTCGATGACTGTCTATGACTCAGCCGGCTAGTATGGGCATTGAGAACGCTGATTACAAGACCTCCTTGGACGAAGATGGGATATTTAAATTACTATAAATAAATTAATAAAATTACTATAAATAATAATAAAATGTCAAACAATGTAGTACTTTTTTTATTCATTAATATTTGAAATTAAAACGAGTATTTGTTGACTTATAATCTAATACATATTATGTAGTAATATTTCCGTATATCATAAATGAAAGTCATACATATAACAATGAATATTATATTATTATCGTGGGTGTAGCGTCCATATTGTAATCAATAGATCTGACCTTCAATATCTACATTATATTCACAATACAAGCTAGTACAAGACGTTAACCGCACATAGATTAATACATTTCTCAGAGGCAACAACTATCTATTGAAGTTACATAATATATCTATGAGTTGTACATAAGATGATTCCTCTGTACATTCATTATTCTGTGTAAATGTATCCCGTTAAAGTGATTATAAATTAAAGTTAAGCATGTCATGAGTGCGCCGGCGCCGGGTAACAAACTCGACTTAACATACAAATTAAACGCAATTGATTGAAACGTATGAAATTTCTTCTTAACACAACAGTTAATAGGAATGAGTCTATTGTTGTAACAATTACTTAATAAGTGGATTTAAATTAGTTCAAGTGTTTGTAGGTAAAACGATGAAAGGCTTATAATTTATACAAATTTTTATTTAGACTAGCAAAACATTATAATTTATAAGTTATTATTTGATTAATATTATTGAGTCGTGTTTATGGACTTTATTTAAGCAGCCCTTCCATACAAACAGTGCCTTTACACCTAGTTCTAGACGAAAATTTAATCTATATTATCTCAAAATTTAACATATAATAAAAATGTATTGTTAAAAATTGTATTATGATTTTAAAACATTCGTATACTTAGCTTATCTCTTTAAATTCTTCCATCAAACTAATAACTAACTAAGATCTATTAAAGCTAATGAATCCATCCATTTTAAATTCCATTTAATTTTATCTTATATATATTTTACATAGAAAAATAAATAAGAAATCTTATTTAAAATTTGAATAGCAAAGATTTATTTCATTCTGCCAGACTGTAACTGTGACCTTAGATTCGGTAATTCAATCAAGCGGAAATGGCGATTGTCCAAAACACAATGCCATCCTTGGCAGGTTGTGGCTGTGTTGGCAGATTACGAACAGTAGGTGGCACCACCCTCGCTACTAATACTATTATAGATATATAGTATAATTTAAAGGTTAAAGTATTAAAACTAGAAATAAATTTGTATGTCAAATCTTTATATGTATATATAATTCTTCTGTGAGTGTGTATGTCACTGAACTTCTCTCAAACGACTGGACCGACTTGGATGAAATTTTTGTGTGTGTTCAAGGGGATCTGGGAATGGTTTAGATTCACAACTTGGTCCGCTGGACAATGTTTTTTTAATTAATTTTTAATTTACTAGTAGTTGTTGATGCAAACGTTTTTTTTTTACCTTAGATTTGACAACTAACTAATATGTCAATTATTCTGTCGCACTTCAAAACACGAAGATTTATGGCTTTAATAGCTAAACTCCAAAAATATAAATAAAAAAACGTAACAGATATTTCTTTATTATTATTAACAATTATCCTAATTTATAAAAAGTAATACAGATATGGTACTACATCAATTGTAATTAAATTATAATTTCTAAGGTGTTCAGCTTATATTTATGAAAATATATTCAATCATCATCATTAAGACATTACAGTTAAAGGTTTTAAAATAAAACAAAGATTTATATGCACTATCTATAGTCGGTGATGTATTTTTTTGCACATACGACAGATGTGTTAATGAAGGTAGATCAATAGACGAAGACGAGGTCGCGGGTATTGACTAGTATAGACTAATAATATGTATATATATAGGAATCTGGATTGTAAATTAAACTTGAGTATAACAAGATTATGAAAATATACGAGCACAAATAATGTAGAGAAAAGTTGTCTGCTTCATAGAAACAGTTTAAAAACTTAAGTTTTTAATTAGATTATCTAAAATAATTAAAAAATTGTCGTCATCGTCATCATCAGCCTATTAGAGCCCACTGCTGAGGAAATGCCTCTTCTCACATGGAGATTTGAGCATTAATCACCACGCTCGCTCAAGACGCGTTGGTGATTTCAAACTTATAATTGTGAAATTATACAGGGTGACTGGTGAATTACTATCGATACTTGAGGACTATTTGACGATCATATATGACGAAATAAAAATTAATATAACATAAATATTAATAAACTTCTAAGTAAAGTTGACCAAAAGTTGTGTAATTAATTACGCATCGTGTGAACACCCTACAGATTAGGTATGCACACACACACACGCGCGTCCACACTTGGAACACTTGGAACGTGTCCACACTTTATTTATTTATACGGAAATTTGGTCAAAAATTAAGTACCTATTTTTTTTACATAATTCGAATGAGAATCATGTACCGAGTACTCTCCTCAAATATTGATAGTAATTCACCAGTCACCCTGTATAGGCGGGCCTTTAACCACTAGTCTACCACTGATTGTCGTATTATAACTGCTATGTAATCCGTATTTTTGGTACTACTAATAGTTCAATCTTCCATAGGCACGCTTCCAGCAAAAGCAACTACAGGAGCGCGAACAGAAGATCGCATCTCTATATGAGTCACAGCAGGCGAAGGCTTTGGAGCGAGTGAGACACTCACCTAGCAACGGAGTGACCAGCACCCCTACAATACCCTCACCACAGACCATACAGCATCAACCGGGGAAGGTAAATATTGGGAGAATAATACATCGTCCTTCATATAGCTTAAAAATAAATGAAGTATTAATTTTGGCCAAAGGTGGTAAGTGAGTAGCTGGCCTACTTTATGGGCAGTAGCGACCTTGATTGTCGAGGAAATGGGAGGGATGGGAATAGGATATCAGGAAAGGGTGGAAATAGGGAAAAGGCAACCGTCTCTCTCACTCATCGAACGAAACGCAGCCATTAAAGGCTACTTCACGCCGATCTTCAGTGAGAGGGTGGTACTTACGGTCGAGCCAGCCCATGTTCGAGCTGTAGTAACTGACCACAGCTAGGCTCTACCACATCTATGCATTGTCTATACTAGTCAAGTCATTATGTGAATTCTTCTACCGATAATAAACCGTAGTTTAATCTAATAATTGAATTATTACCCACAGTAAAGAACAAACATTGATCCATTAATAGGGAAAATATATGAAGATGAAACATTAGGTTGAGGGAAATTGACTTAACATTGTTTAATACGTCTATAGATTGAGGACGTTTTCATATAATGAAAACTATATTGATGAATAATTTCATGAAAATTGTTACAGCTTTTCGAGATTAAACATAATTGGACAATAGTTGGTATTTTTTCTTGCAATACGAGAAATTATATACTAAGCTATAAAATGGCCCTTCACTTAGTATGAAATTTTATAATACTCTAATGTTTTTATTATAATGTTTTGTAAACTGTATGTAGTTTCATTTCATCTAAGGATTACTCATGAAACGTAAACACTTCACTGAATCGATAATGTACTGATAAAAGTTGTTAGTTCACTTATACCTTTCACTAAAGATTCAAATACAATGGCTTTTAATATGTAACGTAAAGAAACTTCTCGTAATGGAAAAATTAGGACCTACAATTATTTCTTTTACTTGACGAAGACCAAATCTACGAAACAACATAAGATTAAATTCGAATTCAACTTTTGTATGAACAGTTCAAATAGATTTTAATTAACTTCCATGAAATTCAATACATATTTTATTATGAATATTTTACTACATTTCTCAATCCCAGGTCCGTCAGATGTTTGAAGAGAGGCGAACCAAAGCCGGCATAGACAAGAGCTATCCTCTACAACCGATTCAAAACACGGAGCGGACACAACCTCGCAAGATAACCAACGGCTTAAATAAACAGACAACCAAGACTACTGAGAAGAAAACGTTGAAAACAATCACTACTAACACACATACTGTTAAAAAACAGAACACTACTAAGGTAAAACATGTTATATTATAATAATTACATTACAAACTCATAACCTACACCTAAGACTACATTTTATACAAATGAGCCCGCCTTTGTGAACAATAATTCTGTATGTAAAATAACCATGTAAATTTTTACAGTGCAATAAAGAGTATATATATACATGATTGACTATGTTAGGATAGCAATACCATTCCATAGCTTGTGTGGTATCAGGAATCTTCTGGTTCACACGGCTTGGTGTTCGTTCCGCGGAGTTTGCGTCACTCATTATATATTTTATCCATACAACGATGTCGCCCCGGCGATGTTCATTTGTTTTATCATAATGAACGTTCTTTAATACTGGAAAAAATCCCTCGCCTTTATTACGTGATGTCATATGCTAGTAATATTTTTGCAGGTCCATAAAGTTGCGGCGGTCAACGGCTCAGGAGACGTCAACCACAATCACGAGCTAGATCTCAATACTAATAAAACTGTGGTAAGACTTGGACCATATGTATAACAATTTTTTTTTTATTGAAGTAATTTTACTATAATTGGTTGTAATATGCCCAGCAGCCCCTCAGCAATGTTGAAGTACAAAAAGACGAGAGAGACGCCAATGACAACACGGACCTCATAGAAAATGAAACGTTCCCTGAACTAGCGCTGGAACAGATGACGCCGAGGAACACGCCCGATACGAACGGGAATATTAATAATAATAATAATAAAAAGTAATTATGAATAAATATTTATACGATGCAAAAAGTATTTATTGTTTAAGACTGGCTGGTAATAGATTTGTATGAAAAAAGTTACTACAGAGTATACATATACTTTAATGGACACAGTTTGGCGGGTAAACGCAAGAAATTAAAAATTTAAAAAAATTGAACAAAAGTAGCGAGTAGTTTTATAATGATGAAAAAACATAATGAACGAAATCCACACCCTTCCAGAAACTTATATATCTATTTATTTAAGTCATTTATTTCTATTATATAGAAGCAGTCCAGCAGTAACGAGGCCCAAGAGTCCAGTGAAGAGTAAACCAACAGCTGTCACTACACCACGGAAAGTGACCAGTGACAATAAGGTAAGATTCACATACACAAATACTTAATCCATACAGTCAAGCAACAAATACACTTTTTAAACTGAATTATTAAACCTCTTTGGTAAATCTCGTTTGTTCCAAATTCAAATTCGATGTGAGATGCCGACGTCACTATGAACACAAATACTCCATGCGCAGTCGAGTACCTAATGAATATACTTTTTAAAACATTTAATAAACCTCCTTTGTGATTCCCATTTGTTCCAAATTCAAATTCGACGCGAGCCGTCAACGTCACTATGTCTAATCCGGGTCGATGGTAAATTTAAAGTTTAATAATAAATATATAATATAATGTGATTGTGTGTGTCAGGTTTCCAGGGAGAATATTAAGCCCCGGGGGGCGATGCAGCGGACGGTCAACTCGGTGAGTAGATGGTACATGATAGGTGGTAGGTGGTAGGACTGGCTTTATAAGAACTACCACTATAGTGACGTAACACTTAGACTTGGCGCTAAAAGCTTACCCGAGTTACAACTTCGAGATAATATTTATGAAGTATGTATTAAAGTGATAAAAATATAATTAATTTCGTTAGAATGGGATTAAAATAAAACGATATTTGTGTTTTTAATATAAACTGCGATTACTAATGTGCATTTTCTGCTATAAATATGACAAATGCTTTTTTGCAATTCTGTCACTGTCTGTCACAACATCACAACGAAATAAACAATAATTTACTTGAGAATTTAATTAATTTCCCTTCTAAATTCTCTATAAACATTTCTCTGTCCAATACAATAAGGCCATACAACACGATTTTTAACTAAATCATTCAATAATAGTTCCAAGTACATTATAAATAAGGGCGTGATTAGTTTGCCTTTTTTTTGTTAAATGTTTTCAACTTTTGTATTGCAGGTACTTAAAAAACCTCTAACTGCGGTAATTTTATTTATTATAATCATTTTATATCAATCATTAGTTCATTAATAACACAATAATGAACCGATTGAAGAATCATTTGGGTATCTTTAAATAGAGATTTAAAAGTTAAATTGCATTCAATATCCACTAACATAGGTTAAATATTGTAGAATATTTCAACAAGAGGCATAAAAATAAAAAAACTGAATATTCTAAATAATTGATATTATTAATAAAAAAAAAAATTAATTAATGAAATAATTCTTATAATGAGATCTAAGACTCAAAAAAAATATTTATGATTATCTATTGTTCATATAACAATTACCATTTTGAGACTAGAAATATGTAGATCCTATTAACGCTTGGATAAAAGCACCCTCGACCCGCACTGCTTTTTAGCAAATATTATAAGGCCTAAATTCTCTCACTTCATAGAATTTCACACATTTGACCCATAATGACTAAAACTAAAGTTAAATAAATCCATACAAGCTACAAACTCAAATAATTTTATTCAATATATGTAGAAGCATTACACTTTCTTATTGATGGGCACTTGAGACACTACCACCAGTTCGGAAAAAGGGGGCCAAGTTCCAATCGGCTAATTGTTTGCCTGAAAAAGGGTTGAAATCCAATCTAATGCCAAGTTTAGATGCACTTTGAAATCGATCATAATCATCTTCATCAACAGCATGATCCACTGGTAAACATTTGCCATTCCCAAGACTCGCCACCACACCCAGTCCTCTGCCTTCCACATCCAGCCACTACCCGTCACCTTATTCACGTCAACGGTCCATCTGGCCGAAATTCACTTTACCATACACCCAACTTAAAATATGGTATAGTTGTGAAAATACGTAGGTGCTTGGTTAAAAATATCTAAAATTATAATACTTCTAATTTTGAACTTGGCAGGTTTTCGTGCTGTACGTAACATTTAATTAATTGTATCATTAATTTATTATTTATATAATTAAATTAACCTGTGTCGTGTATCGTGTAAACTGCAAACTGTATCATTTGTCACCGCTTGATAGATGTACTCATATTATTAATATTTCATTATTATGTATTTTATTGTGCTGAGCTGAGCGCCTATATATATAACCGGCAAACATATCTCATACATTCCTTACAATTCCCTAACAGTAAATAGATTGTCATGTCATAGAGTCCACAGACCTCTGCCTCCAAGGCGCGCCCGACCGCCGAGAGGTCTGAAGGGGCGTGCGTGGTCTGCGGCCGGCGCTTCGCCCCCGACAGACTGGCGCGACACCAGGACATCTGCCGCAAGACGCACGCCAAGAAGAGGAAGCCCTTCGACGTGCTCAAACACAGGCTGGCGGTCAGTACATATAGATATAGGACATTTATAAACTCTTTGGTCCGTGGCTGAATGATTTAGACCAGGCTGTTCCATTTTGTTCAAAGCTAGCGGTTTGCTTTGTAGCGGCTTCTTTATTCTTCTTTCTTTTCCGTAGAATCTTTTTTAACTTTTAAATTCATTAATGAGCAAATACTATGTAGTAATAATAAAGATATTATTATTACCGGTATTTTATTTTTATAAATATTTTGCGACAAACGAATGTATTTAGTAAATTTTATTGGCCCTGGTTCCCATCAAGTTTGAACACCCCTGATTTAAACCAATTCAATATCTATATAAAAAAACTCTGTTAATGATATCTTCTTATAACAATAGATAAAATTCCTTCCCTGATTTTTTTTCATGCAAGCAAAATTTTTCTTTCAACCTTTTATGTATGTGTGAACTAATCATAACGTGTTACATTCCGCCTCATGAATGGATTAGGGAACTGACGCGGAACATAATAAGGCAAGGAATATTGTTTATAACACTCATGATACATTTATAAAGATATACTTACATACACCTAATAATAACTCAAAAACTGTTTGATATAATAAGCCCATTAATTAATAAGAAATATTGACTAAAAATATTTGAATTAAAATTTATCATATAAAATATACAATGGAAAAATCACCGACACGAATACGTACCATTAACTATTCTAAATATATAATCGTTATAACTTATTCAATACATCTTCTTTCATATTATTCAGACATAGCAGGTTCAAATTGACACCGTGTCGATGAATTTCTTGCACCTTTATCATATATTAATTCAATACAAAGTTTTTATGATGTTCAAAATATCTCCAGGGCACGGAGGCCGAGCCGTTCATCAGTCGTCTCCGTAAGACGCCCGCTAACAGCTCCGCCACTAAGCTACAGAAGCCTCTGAACAGTACGTGGAGACAGAAACACGAGGAGTTCATACAAGCGATACGAGCCGCCAAACAAGTACAGGCGCATCTGAACGCGGGAGGTACTACACTATATATAGTAGGAATTAACATCGAGAAACTATGAATAGAATCGATTAGTTACAGAACTTTTAATATATAGTACAATGAGTTCATGAGTGTATATAACTGTTGGTGGTGACGATGAAAACTTCAAAACAAGGCGATCTATATCCTCACTGCATTTTAATTGTATTTATAGGCATTTTTTAGCTTCAAACTATTTTTCTTTATTTATAAGTTATAACTAATATCATTAAGGAATCCAAATCAAACAATGTCTATCTTATATAATCTTCTTCTACCTGGCAATTCCCCAGCTTTAGCCAGGGTCTGCCTTACATGTTGTGAATAGTTTAGGCTAATTATTATTTTTAAGACCGGCGGCCTGCCTGACATCAACTCTCTTTGGTTAATCATTAATCAGTGATGTCTAAATACTCTTAGAAAGTACATATTATGACTCGCAAAAATCACATTTGTACTTGTCAGGATCGAACCCGCGCCCTCATACATGAGGGGCGGGCCTTTTAACCACTAGGCCTCCACTGACTGATATAATCTCTGCTCCAGGTAAGCTGAGCGACCTGCCCCCGCCTCCTCCGTCCGAGAACCCGGACTACGTGCAGTGTCCTCACTGTAAGAGACGCTTCAACCAGGCCGCCGCTGACAGGCACATACCCAAGTGCGCCAACTTCCAGTTCAACAAGACCAAACAAGCGCCCAAGAAACGATAAACACACACACACACACAGACGACTAGACGTACTACGAAGAAACTCTGATTCATAATTAAGACGAAATTATACGTTTATTCTTCATTAGCCTTAAATTTTATTGACCTTTCTCTTAAACAGCTCACGTGTTACAACGAACAAAACTCTCATTAAAAACATTAACGGCAATTCATTTATGTTTCCCTGACTCGATAACAAATAATAATATGGACATTTCTAATTCTAATACTAGTATATTATTTTCGTCCCTGGACACGTTCGCTCAGATATTATTCACATTAACATTGTTCTACTGTGTGAAGCGTTTCTATGACACGGTGTGAGCGTGAGGTAGCCATGTCAGCGTATTGTAAGGGCGCCTCTTGCTCGGAGGTGTTGTTTCTCCGCGTGTGTCTGACGGCGCTCGTGTGCTACACGATCTGGTCGGTCGTGAGGTTCGTTCACGATCACACGTGCGTCCGTCCGTCACACCCCGTACTAATACCCGACACTGACTTCGACTCCATACCTAACTTTCTTAACCTACTACATGAAGTCGAACTTGACTGACTTACTCACTCTGACTTATAAAACCATAATCTTCAATAACAGATCATATTTTTAATATTATATAATACGAAGCGCTATATAACATTAGTTACATTCCTAAAGCCGTACTCTCGTACTTATTTTAATCTTGTAGGCGATCAAATTGACTGTTGACAAAACTACGAAATTATTATTATTAAAAATTTATTATGATTAATTTTACATTTGTAAAAAAATACGCTTTTAAATGTTAACAGTGCTAAATGTTATTGGATTTTTTTAAATATACTTATCATTTTTAAAATGTGTTTTATTTGATACACCTCGCAATTTTGTAACATTATACTTGGTTATTAGTTGACTATGCTATAAAGTACTGTAATAGTTAAATTACAAATTTATTACCAACTAGAAGACCAGGCGAACTTCGTATCGCCCTATAATAAAGAAGTATCAATTACGTATTTTTATTTATATTTTTGGAGTTTACCTGTAAGAAATAAATCTCCGTGTTTTGAAGTGCGACAGAATGATTAACATATTAGTTAGTTGTCAAATCTAATGTCAAAAAAACGTTTGTATGGGAAATAGAAAAGGGCTGTTTTTATGGTTTTCCCAGTAATGAATCAATTTTTTTCAGCTTTTATCCCTTCCCTGAACCTCCACGAACATTTCAAGAGTAAGATAAGATAAATCCGTTCAGCTGTTCTCGAGTTTTAGCGAGACTAAGGAACAGCAATCCATTTTTATACAGGGTGACTGGTGAATTACTATCGATATTTGAGGACGTGATATTTGACGATCATATATGACAAAATAAAAATTAATATAACATAAATATTAATAAACTTCTAAGTAAAGTTAACCAAAAGTTGTGTAATTAATTACGCATCGTATGAACACCCTACAGATTAGGTATACACTGACACTCACACATACGCGTGTCGTGACGTAGTGTTGTATCAGCACGACGCCGCACGCGTCCACACTTGAACATTTGGAACGTGTCAACACTTTACTTATTATTACGGAAATTTTGTCAAAAATTAAGTGCCTATTTTTTTTACATAATTCGAATGAGAATCATGTACCGAGTATTCTCCTTAAATATTGATAGTAATTCACCAGTCACCCTGTATATATAGAAGATAAATATTATATAACTAGTTTTTGCCCGCGACTTCGTCCGCGTTAATTTCGTCATTAGTAATATATGTATAGCTGACCGGACGAACTCTAATCCGTCTTAAACAAACCAGGTATTGGTATTTATTAAATTTTTCCTGTTTCAATCGAACAGAATGATTGACATATTAGTTAGTTGTCAAATCTTATGTCAAAAAAACATTTGTATGGGAAATAGAAAATGGCTGTTTTTAGGGTTTTCCCGGATGTGAATCAATTTTTTTCAGCTTTTAAACCTTCCCTGAACCTCCACGAACATTTCAAGACTAAGATAAGCTAAATCCGTTCAATCGTTCTCGATTTTTAGTGAGACCAAGGAACAGCAATTCATTTTTATATATATAGAAGATTAGACAGAGAAAAATAAGACTCCGAAATAAATTGCCAAGTATATATTCATGTTACCGAAAAATACAAAAGAAAATGCAAATAAAACGCCGTTGATTACAAGCGGCTAAAGCACACAAGACATGTGGTTCTTAGTTTTCAGCGCCGTCTTTGGGCACGTACGAGAAGATGACCGCCGACTTGCCCGGAACAAACACGCTCTCTGTGTCCACGGACTGGTTACTGGTGTAACTGAAATAAATACAAATAACTATTTATACGAAAGAATTAGTTATATGAAAATTAATCTTAATTATCAATTAATACAACTTTAAATATATTAATTTTAAAACCAAGCTGCTGAGTTATGATATTAAATTGAGTTGAAATAATTATTAGCAACTGTAATTCGAAGATATAAAATGTTAAAATTATTCAAAAATTATTGAAGATTAAATAAATGTAACAAATCGTGAGTATGTAATTATTTCAAACTATAATTTTGAGCCAAACTCGACAACAGATATTAGATGCACTAAGTATAGAATTATTTGATTTAGACCCTTATAGTAATGTACTCACTTTGAAGCGAGCTTAGTGTTCTTTGACACGTGATGTACCGCCAGTGATGACGGTAAGGAGCGGACTGAGGACAGAGACACGACGCCAGGAGCGCCGGGGTTATACACCGACACGTACCCGGAGTGATCCGCCTTCCATCTGAGAATACATATAATAATCATTAGAATTAACCATACATACATAGTGTCAGCAGATGCGATAATTTTCTGATCTCAATTTCAAAACCTGACTTAAAACTTCAGTCAAAATACTGTTAAAAAGCTCTTCTCTTATAAACATATAGATAAAAGTCCGTCTGTGTCAAAATCAAGTTATTATGATTACTTGTCTCCATGACATGATTGTATTGTTTTACAAGTTGATCATCACAAGTGATCATTAGTACTGGACTTATGTTAACAGGTCGATAAAAAAATGGTTGAGTGAAACTAAGACTAAGAGCAAGTCAGGACATATGTTATATATTTAAAAACATATCAATACTATATATCTGACCTGGCCACAGCCAGCATCGTGTCGCTGGAGTTATGTACGGGCGCGTCGGTCACAACCCACGCTCCGTGTTGGATGCTGGCGTCAGTACGTAGAGATATCGCGTGCTTCAAACTCTCGCTCTGTTTAAACAATGTTTTTATAACCACATCTGTGTCCTTACAACGAAAACGACGAAGTTTTCCCAGTTTATCGTTCATAAATCACTGCACATGTTACTGTTGATGGTTTATAAATTAAAATGGTGAATGCTACGTATTTAGTTTGACTTTGCAAAGTAGTAGTAAATGTAATCATACCGTTTATAATTATAATTATTAATTATTAATAATACTATAATTGCGAAAGTTTGTGAGTGTGTGTATATTTGTTACTTCTTCACGCTCAAACGGCTGAACCGATTTTGATAAAATTTTGTATACAGGAAGCTGACGTCCAGGAATAACACATAGGCTACTTTGCATCCCGGAAATCCGCGGATAACACCGCGGGGCGCAGCTAGTAATGAATGTTTCTCTACTCACGGGTGTAGTATCATTATCATCTCCTGCCAGTTGTTCCAGGACCATAACAGGAGCGGCCGGTAACAACATTGAGAACACGGCTGTCTCTTCGTCCGGCTTGTCATCAGTCAACTGGAAAATTACATTTCATTATACAAAATAGGCATCTTAAGTCATAGGAGTTCGATCAAGTGAACATTTTTACAAATTGTAATCTAATTGATATATTTCATGAGGGTTTATATACAACTTTGAATTACGACAATAAATTTTAAGAGAAGATTATAAAAACAGGGTAATTTCTTTGAGGTATATAGTCATGATATGATTAGTAGTAACACGATTGGACATAACTCGATTAAGAAATAATTTAGCAGATAATTTAAACAAATCTTTTTGTATGTATACAGTATCCTCAATAAAGGTGATTGAGAAAAACATTTGTTAGAACTATTCAAAATTTGTAAAAATATTCAAAACTTTTCTTATGATTTTTCTGTTATGTATAAGATACCTATCATATATTTTCATTACAGCTTGTATATGTAACGTTAGAAATAATTCAGGTTAATACTTCCACTTAGATGATTAATGCTTCACAACTTGTAACCCAGTCCCCAGTCTAACACTTGTATCCACTTATAATATTCAAAGATAAAATTGTGATGAGGGTAGGTTATTGGTTATTATATTGGACGCTAGTTCCCCTCATAAGACTTTCCGTTAAATAATAAAACACTTAACATTATGTAAGACATGCTAAAGCTCTAATTATAAATTGTAAAACCAATTGTTAAATATTTGGACATTTAAATTACTGTACAGAAATATTATTATAACGAATATACCGATGGCGCTAGTTGGCTGTTATAAGAATTCCCAATAAATATTAGAATATAAATAATGTGAAGCATAGAATTGTGAAATTTACAACAATTTAAATCATCCCTAGTAATATTATAAATGCGAAAGTAACTCTGTCTGTCTGTTACGCTTTCACGCCTAAACCAATGAACTGATTTTAATGAAATTTGGTACAGAGATAGAGTTGACCTCGAGAAAGAACATAGGATAGTTTTTATCCCAGACTTTTGAAAGGTTCTCTTGGAAACGCGATATAACCGAACTCCACGCAGGCTAAGCTGCGGGCGGAAAGCTAGTTATAAATAATTATTACTAACAGTATACAGGGTGACTGGTGAGTTACTATCAATATTTAAGGACGTGGTAGTTGACGATCATATATGACAAAATAAAAATTAATATATCATAAATATTAATAAACTTCTAAGTAAAGTTAACCAAAAGTTATGTAATTAATTACGGATCGCGTGGATACCCTAGCTGCGTTATCGACACAAAACAGTTATGTACGTAGGTATATGTAGTTATCGCGCGGTAGTTTACCTACATCCAAACGCCGCGCGCCGCCGCGTGTTAGACCTTAGATAAACAAAAATGATCCATTTCCCTTCATACTTTAATCCTGGCTTAGGACAGGCAAAAATACCAAGATATTTCTTTCGTTTAAGCAACCAATTTATTGACTAGGTAAATGGTGTGACCTTGACACAAAAAAAATATGAACTGTTTACCTATCTTGGTATTTCCGGCGTATTTAAAAATGGAATCATACTTATTTACAACAATTGTCAATCATTAAACTACCTATTTACCTACATAACTACACTAACCTTAACAAATGTTCAAAGTGAGCTCCTTCTCGTGTGATACACAGTTCGGCACGTTTACACATATTGTCTTTCACACGATTTAATACGAATGGGTCACTTTTAATAGTTTCGAAAGCACTATTGATTTTTAATTTCAACTCCTCTCTGTTGACATACATTGTAGCATACACAAGACGTTTCCTTGGGCATGTGTTGGAACACGGAACTGTCCGAAGTCTCGTAATCTTTGATTAGCGTTTAAGATGACGCTGGCCGTAGGTACTCGACGATTGGGGAACATCTCCCGGTACAAATTGATTGCGCCCCGCAAGCTTTCATTTGCACGCGCATACGCATGAACCATGTCCAAGTATTCTGCATTTGTGTATTGAAAAGCCATATTTAATTACTAATAAGTAATAACGGGTCACACGCACACACGACAGATTATTATTAGGTATACGCGTAAGATCGATCGCTAGGCGCGCGCGCGGGAAGACGAACGTACGGACCTTACGGCGGCGCTGGCGCGACTAATAGCCCACTAATGGCCCGCTAGCAACGGGGCGGGGGTTGGGGAGTAGCGACACACTGGCGCCGGCAAGGCACGTGTCCAAACTTTATTTATTTATACGGAAATTTGGTCAAAAATTAAGTACCTATTTTTTTTACATAATTCGAATGAGAATCATGTACCGAGTATGCTCCTTAAATATTGATAGTAACTCACCAGTCACCCTGTATATATGTGTGTGTGTGCGTGTGTACCTTTATGGCGGGCCACCGTGGCAGTCTCTCAGCGAGCAGCTTGGCGGCCCCGGTGCGCGCCAGGTCGAGGGGTGCTCCGCTGGGCGGCCGCAGACAGCTCGTGTTCCTCTGCAGCATGAACAGCTCCGGGCGGGAGGGCTCCGCTAACGTGAACACCGTCGGCTCTGACACACATACGTAACGCAACATGTTATACATTAGGAAATATATTATATCTGTATGAAGATTGTGAGACAATGACACTTGTGTATAATTTAAGTTTTGCTCTCAGCTTTATGATTAGTGAAAAACTATACTTTATAAATCTCATTATAGTCCTAACAGTTGTGTGTCGTCTGTTTAGACAATAAGACGCTATTACTGGTGTATTATTTCACCATTTATCATTTTACCACGACCAGATACTCATGACCTATCCAGTTATTCTAAGATAAGAGCCCTCACCAGAGGACGCCTGCTCCACGATGTATGACCAGTGAGCCAGCAGCGGGTCCAGCTGTGGCTGGTCGGAGGTCCGTGAGTGTTTCCAGAACGGGTACTGCGAGTGGTCAGCCCCCGGAGTGCTCCCGGCGCCCGTGTGAGGCAACTCAGACAGGGGAGGAGTGCTCACTAACAGCTGACGGACGTTGTGTAACCTGAAATGATAATAATAATAAAATATTTATTGGTCAAAGTCGCACTACAATACAATAACGATCTTATTCACAAATAAAAAACATAAAAAAAAATACAATTAATAAAATCAATCATTTTTTTTTTATTATAATAAGAAGAAAGAAAAAAAAAGAAAATGTGCTGCAGTGCAACAACACCAAATGGAGATTCGCTCAGTTGAAGAAGAAGCATCAATGATGTTTCTAAACTGATTTTCAGCGGTCTCCATAAGGTATGATATTATAATATCCATTTATTAAAAATATAGTCATAGAACTCTCCAGAAAAACTGATGGTTGTTTTCAATTGAATATAAATGATTTTATATACTGTGATGTGTTAAGGCATATACTTTAACTTTACTACCACACAAGTATCGGCGACTCATCATACATTCCAAGTTATAGCGGTAACACTGTGTGTATGTTGATGTCTCAATTCTTATATCATGAACACTCCAAAGATAAAAGTTGGTGTAATTTGAAACATGACTTAATTCCCATCTTTACATAAAGTACTTCTTGTGAATGCCTCAATGTTATTTAAGGGGCGTTTTATACTTATTGCTGGTACACAGCATTACCAAAATCAAATTAAGATGCTCTTTGATAAATGTATCTAAATTAAACTTACTATCATCTCAACTTTATCACACTTTTATGAAACTGTGGACTCCAAAATACTAAGACCAAATCTACATATATAAAAATATATTTATAATGAACAAATATTCCCTAATATATATATAATACCTGATGCCCCCTGCTCCGGCCTTCATCCACAGTCTAATGACCTCATCAAACTGTTTGACTACGTTAGGGTTGTGGAAGTTGAGGTCGGCAAGGCCCTCACCATATTGATGGAGATAGAACTCCTTCCTCTTGTCACTCCAAGACCAAGCACCAGTATTCACAGTGGACACCTACAACAAACACAAACAATACATTGTAGAACTTATTACATATAAAGATTAGTTAATGTTATTAAATAATCTATCCCATTTTATATTTTGTATAAATGTGCCTGTTTTTCCTCAGATTATACTTTTTTGGAATTGATTGTGAAGTAGAATTTAATGGAAATAGAACTATGTTTATACTAACAAATATATATCATTTCGTGAATATTCTGCAATATTATTTAGATATAGGATGCCATGTATAAGTGTATGAAAATGGATGTGTTGGGAATCAATCCAAAATCTATTTTAAAAGATTTTAATAAAACTTTAAAATCTTGTAGCCCAGATATCAGAACACTTCATGGGCACTTTATCTCAGAATGGGATGTAGTTCCCACAGAGTTACATTATTACAGTAGTATTTAGTATAAAGACATGTGGTTGATCACCATATCTATTGTTTTAAAACATTTATACATTTCTTTTTAAACCAATATCAAAGTTCACTCAGACGAAATTGCGACCATAAACTAGTCTCGTATAGTTATATATATGTCTCACCCAATCATTAGGTGGTTTGGGTATCGAGGTGTTTAGTTCAGGGTCATGTTCATCACTCTTCACCCAAATAAAGTATTCCGAGTACTGTTCTGAACTGTTCTCACTCTGCTGGAACCAAGGATGGCTGGTGGGGACGAAGTTGGCTGTCAGGTCTACTATGATCCTGGAAATATAGACATGCATTAAATATAACAGAAAGAAAAAGCCAATAGAAGGTTACTTAGCCATTATTACAACATTATTTATTGAACAAAAACAGTATATAAATAAAAATGTGAAACTAAACAGTGTTGTAGTTAAGATTTCATTATATTATATATTTAAAATATGAATAGTATAAGAAAATTACTTTTATTATCAATATTATATTACTGAAATATTTCAATGTTTTCAGAAAAACTAAATTAAATTATATTCCATCCTTTCATATAATGTTAGTAATCTTTGATTAATTGTCTCTAAATTCTTACTTGATTCCATAATTCTTGGCTTTTTCAGCAAACTGTTTGAACTTATCCAGACAGGAGCTGTCTTCGAGCACCTCGTATGTCGTCTGACAGGCGGAGGCAAACACCCCGGATACCTGGAACTGCTGGAGTGTTTCCAGGTGAGACTCAGCTGTAGTGTAGTCTGCAAGGTCCAGGTCTAATAGAGGACCTGTCTCATACCTGGGGATAGGTAACATAAGAATGTAAATAAAATTTGTTGAATATAAAGCTATCATTAAAAAGTTTGTCTTGAGATCATATTATATACAATGTTAGTTAGTATACATAACATAACATTTTTTCATATATGAAAATACTTGATGCATTTCACAAACACTAAGCAAATTAAATCCTACAATACTTATACACTCAAAATATAACAATATCCAAAAATTACAATTTTCATATTTAAAAAAAAAGATCTGCCCAATTTTGCACATTCAAGGCTAAGAGTGTAACTATATTTTACACTTGAACTTTTCTATTTTTTTAAATTTTTCCATGAACAAACGAAAGATTTATTTGTACAGATATGACCAAAGACATTGTTTAATTAAAATAAAATTAATATTTTCATTTCGTCTGCCGGTTATCACGGTTTCGTATGTAGTTTTTAACATAGTAAAATAACGCGTAGTAATCCGGCAACATCAGTTTCAGTTTATTTAAATATACACTCACAAAAATCTTACATCTCAAACACAATGTTATACATTACCATAGCAAAACATCTCATATATAGTTCATACACACCTAGTCTTAGGTTCCGGCGCGACACACCGTGGAGCTCTCACTATGATGGCTATGGCCCCGGCCAACATACACAGCCACAGGGACCAGAACAACACGAACATGAACCAGCGGAGACGGACCCAGAACGGATCCTCTGCATACTTCATGAGCTCCTCCTTGGTCAGGCCAGTAAACTGGAATTAATACATTTATAATATTAAACACCTTTCGATACTATGTACAAGAAACTAGTAGTATCTGTGACTGAAATCCTACTAATATTTTAATTGCGAAAGTTTGTGAGTGTATGTTTGTTACTTCTTCACGATCAAACGGCTGAACTGAATTTGATAAAATTTTGTATACAGGAAGCTGACGTCCAGGAATAACACATAGGCTACTTTACATCCCGGAAATACCGAAAATCCGCGGGTAACACCGCGGGGCGCAGATAGCATATATATAATAAAGGATTTCGGCACTAAGAGAATTATAACCAACAAAACACGCTTGTAAACCAACAATGTCTAGGTTCTAGAGCAGGGGTGTCCAGACTTGATGGGACCGAGGGCTAGTAAAGATAACTAAATACATTGTTGGGCCGCAAAATATTTATAAAAATAAAATACTAGTAATTATAATATCTGATGTATTTAAACTAAGAAGATAAAATAAATTCTACTAGCCGCAATAATCAAAACCAAGGGCCACGGTTTGCACAGCCCTGTTTTAGAGAACGATGTTCCAGGAATTTTACTTACGAATATAGTGTATTGCAATAATATTTTTAATATTGAACATACAATTAAGTAAGGAATTTTACTGACATATATTTCATTACTAGCTTTCCGCCCGCAGCTTCCCACGCGTGTTGTTCGGTAATATCGCGTTACCAAGAGAACCTTTCAAAAGTCTGTGATAAAAACTATCCTATATTCTTTCTCACTGTCAACTCTATCTCTGTACCAAATTTCATTAAAATCAGTTCAGTGGTTTAGGCGTGAAAGCATAACAGAGAGTTTGACAGACAGAGTTACTTTCGCATTTATAATATTAGTAGGGATAATAGTGTATTATTCGTATTGAACTTATGATCGACTCATTATATTTGTATGTATTTTCCGTGAATGTAAACATAATTACCCTCTTATTCGCATCCAGTTCAATCTTAGCGTCCCCATTCCTATGATCTTCGACCACATACTTGGCGTCTGCCATATCCACCCTGGTCGTGATCTTGGCTTCCTCCTCCTTCTGAAGCAGCCTCTCTTCAGCCTCGTCTGCGGAAACCTTGTCCCTGGACTTGTGCAGACTAGACTTTGATGTACGGAACTCTGAAAGAGGGATGACCGTTGAGTTATTAAAACGAATTGATCGTGAATATTTAAATATTAATAAAATTTATAAATTATATAATATTTCAATCCATACAGAGTAATAATGCACGGATTTTTTTTATTATCATGGAACTCTATTAAGCAGCTGGTAACCGAAATTATTTGAACATTATTTTTTAAACTTAAAACCATTCAAAGTTTAACCACGAACATTCGTCCGTTAAATAAAGGGAGGTATACACGTCGGTAAACTGGTTTACACTGTAACAAAAGGTTCAATTCGTAGGAACTGTGACGAACAAAACATTTGTCACGGTGACATCGAGGACAAAATTGAAACACACACAAGATATGTATAGTATATAAGGAATTATAATTACCTTCAATATTACTTGGTAATTATAAAATCTATTGAATATTGATTAAAAAAATATATGAAAATTGTATATTGTAAATAATTTCAAATACATAATATTTTTAATAAATAAATATTTTTGTATATTATTTAATAGTTTATTCGATTTAACTCACAGTAACACGTCTGCTCGCGACGCGATCCCCAAAATTACTGAAAACTCACCCGCCGTCTTTACAACGGACTTGATTTATGAGAAAAAAAAATTACAATAACTGTACGAACTCGGCTTGGAATTTTAAACGAGAAACGGTTCCGTATACAAATTCTGTTTGTATGTACAGAAAATATTAATTAATTTATTTAGTACTGAGGCAACTTTTTATTTATTTTGCTCCATATAAATATAAATAGCTCTGTAATTGTAAAATAATAACTATAATTCATATAAGAATTCGTGTATTATAATTTTGAAGTACTGTTCAGTTGGTCTCCGAATATTCCCGAATCTTGACTCGCCTCTGTTTTCCAAGAAAGACCAGCCTGAGATGCAGCATTCCCTTTACCAGTTTTTTGTCCAATATTGAGAATGCAATTTAACTGCTTAACTTAATATATACTTATTATATAATATTTTATTTCTCATATATATCACGTTCGTATAACATTTTTCATCACGTATTCAGATGATACTTGATAGTGTATTGAAGTGTACAGTCAGCAAGTCACATTTTATGACAACTTCACCCACTAACATAGATATATTTTCTATTTGTATTAGGTACCTACATCTGTCTACGCTCATTAAAAATGAGAAAAGTCTATAAAATTAAGCAGATAAGTGAAAATTGATACCATTTTATATAGGAATAGAGTAATACTAAATCCAATTTATTAGATAGATACGTCCTTCGTTCAACAAAGGTGTATTTTCGTATACTAGCACGTTACTATGACTTTGTTCGCGAATTTAATCTACCGATGTGCCGCTTTTTGTATGCTATTCTGATAAAAATATGATGCATGTTAAGATTAGTGATAATGTTCAATGTGATTGAGAAAAAAATTCTTATAATCTCTTAAAGCAATAAGGGATTTAATTTTTAAATGGAAAATATAGGAAAAAACGTCACAATGGGAATACAGATATAAACAACTTTTTGTATCTATGATATTTTTTCATCCCATATTTTTCATTTATAAATCTCAAAAACTTCATTTGTTTTTATATAATAATTCTTATTAATGTATAACCGAAAGTAATGAGTTAAGACTACCGATAAACATTTTAACGACTTTTACTAATCACTCCGTTAATGGTTTTGTAAGTTTAAACAGAAAATTAACCTCGTAACATACAAACAACTGAATTGTCATTTATATTAATTAATATTCTTCAAATAACTAATTACATATCAACAAAAACTATGTTTACGTATCAAACATTATTATTATAGTAGGTTCTTATAAAATTGGTTAGGTAGAGAGAGGAGCTTGGACAGTGGAGGTGAACGTATAACGCGCGTTAGATAAGGGGCCCCTTAAACCTACACCTGGGTCGCAAGTCCCAGGCACTGTTGAAGTTCCTCTCCCTACAACGATGGACCCGGCACCCGCACGGTGAATTCAGTGGATGCTAAGAGGTCTTCTCTCATTTAACGACATCTTTTAATTATATGTAATACATTAAAAAGTATTATTGTATAATTTATATGATCACATAGAATCGCCCTAATAGTGTTATTAGTGAAAGTTTCTATGTATGTTTTATCTTTACACAATTGGATATAAATATATATAAAAATACTAATAAAATATAGCATTAAAACGACTGCCATTGTCTCAAAAATTCTTTAGCAAAGAAATAAAAATACGATCGAAAAAAATTAAGTAAACTAAATTTTTTATAAAATGAAAAAATATATATTACCTGTGTTTTACCTTTCAATTTAGGTAAATTAAACTTCAAGATAATCTAAATTGTATAGTAATGTTATATAAATGAGAAACTACTGTCCCGATAACGGCGCGGCGCTCCACTGAGAAAAGAATAGCTATAATCAAACCCATTACCACTGATGGGATTACTAACACACAGGGCTGACACTTACACAACACATTTATATCGAAATATATATTTAGCATCCAAAGAAATATACTACATAATACATCAAAACTTATTATTATTATAATAACATAAAAATTAAAAATCTTAAAGAATTTAAAAAATCATGATAAAAATTATTGATCTCAATACATATATAAATATAATATATAAGAATTGCTAGGATTCTTTCATAACTTATTATATATTACAATTAACACCAGCACCAAGTGCCAACCCTATTGGTAATATCTTTCAATAATTCCGTTGTTCAAGACAGTCTGTTGTAGTGATCAAACACAAACAGCTGGTCGTTGTTACATCATTATTAGAAATGTAAGTCTTCTTCCTATTTATACAAATATATTAGAATATTGTCTACTTTCTTTGGTATATATATAAACATAATATGTTTGTGTGTGTATATAAATATATTTGTTATTAATATAAATATATAAAAATAATTGCTTGAATCTAAGAAAACTTATACAGAAATCATATAACTCTATTCATGTATTATTAATAAGTATATATGGATGGAAATGTTTGGAATTTTATGAGGTATTCCATTTGATTTAAAATGAGTGATTTCTTATTAAAGTTGACCGAACAAGTCACTTGAGTATTAGCTGTATAACATTTAAAAATTAATCTTTTGTTATCAATATGATTACAGAATTTCATACTCAGAGTTAGTTAATTGGACTCTTTAATTGGGACCGACTAATAAACAAAATATTAAAATTCTATTAGAAAGAATAATTGACATTTCAATTTGCTATTTGCTAATAGATGTTAAACATATTGATCAATAAAAAGCAAAATAAATTATTTACAATATTACAAATTAAACTCTAAATGTTCCATAAATGAAAAATAAATATACAGGGTGACTGGTGAATTACTATCAATATTTAAGGAGAATACTCGGTACATTATTCTCATTCGAATTATGTAAAAAAAATAGGCACTTAATTTTTGACAAAATTTCCGTATAAATAAGTAAAGTGTTGACACGTTCCAAGTGTTCAAGTGTGGACGCGTGCGGCGGCGTGCTGATACAACACTACGTCACGACACGCGTATGTGTGAGTGTCAGTGTATACCTAATCTGTAGGGTGTTCACACGATGCGTAATTAATTACATAACTTTTGGTTAACTTTACTAAGAAGTTTATTAATATTTATGTTATATTAATTTTTATTTTGTCATATATGATCGTCAAATATCACGTCCTCAAATATCGATAGTAATTCACCAGTCACCCTGTATATACAAAAAGAGCATTCTGGAAATTGACTAATTACTGATTGGTTAAGATTTGTGATATAAGAATAATTAATCTTATAGGCTTATGTCTAAACATATGCCGATGCATTAAATATGAGAATTTAAACAAGCATCTATAGTTGAAATGATATGACCATAAGTAATTTGATTTTTACCTAAAATTTATAAATAAAATAAAGCAAAATTAACCATTTCATTAAATTTATTAATACTCTCATCTTACAAATTACAGTACAAAAATAAAATCACAATTTCTTAAGCAAGTATGGCCGGATCTACATATAGAAGAATAAATATTATCAGTCCAGTTATTTATGAACAATATTTGAGTGCATTCAATATATATTACCTTTGATTGATATAAACAAGAAAAGATTAAATAAAAAATTTACTGATTTCAATAACATATTCCTTATCAAAGATGACAAGTAGAGAAAACATGATGCAACTATCTGAAAACGAACAATATTTTTTTTCTTTTTATAAGTAAAGCTTTTCTATCAATTTATTTTTATTTATTACAGCTTAATTTTATAAATTAGCCTTCTACCTCGATTTTTGTTATAAATATTTCGTTTCATCAAAGAATTAATGAATAGCTTCTGTCATCTTATTTAAGTTTGCATCGCATACAAAACGTTTCCCGCTTCAAATACAATCATCCAGCGCCATCTGTTGAACAACACGAGAAGTTTCCGAGTTTAATTAAATGTATAACAGATGGCACTGTTTCACAATTTAAGCCTCAACATGATTTGTCTAGGTCAGAGAATGTAAGTCAAACGTTATCATGTTTCTTCTTCTTCAAGATTTAATAACGCCATAAACAATAATTTAATAGTATTTTCTGTACATTTCTTCACATTGACCTGTTTCTTATGAAATAAATATAAATAGCCACCTATGAAACTTTTTAACTTATTCTTTACACTATAATATATTGACAATAATTGTATGTCAGAAATTCGACTCTCAGTTCACTTAGTATTGAAAAATGTAATGAAAACTTTACCTACATCTATTTGACCCTGGTTTGACAGAACATTAAAAATTAGTTAAAAATCTAATTAACTTATAGCAAAATTATTTATAAAATAATTTGCATTACAAATTACTATACAATTATACCTTATTACCAATAATAAAATATATTAACTAATGGTTCTGATGTAAATTATCAAGAAATTGTTGGAACAACCTATTCCTTTCTCTCTGAATATTATTGGACTCTTCGACTATATTTATTAATCTATCTAATTTCTCCTCGACAACTCTCTGCCTATCTCTCATTTCTAATGTAACTTTTCTAAACTCTGCATTCCTCTTTCTCAACAATCTTCTTTTAACTTCATCATTCTGTCCATTCGAAGATTCACCATTTTCGAAAGTGTCTTCTTGTTTTGAAGAAGAATCCATTCCCATTAAAACTTTAGTAATTCTATCACTGCTGCAATCCGTTATCTTCTGTTTGATTTCCGGTTGATATTCACCATCAATGCTATAAATCTCCTCAAATATATCAAAATATGGCCATTTGAATGCTGTAACACCACTACGATTCTTCTTTCTGAGTAACCTTATGTATGTCTGTTTGAGATTTCTGAACTTTTTGTCGCAGCTATCCGGACCTTTACCGATTGCATTAGCTATATCCACCCATACATTCTTTTTCCTTATTTTTGGATTTCTAAACTTTTCTATATTTTGCAAGTACAGAGCCAGCATGCCGGCCGTACTCTCGTGATCCCAGTGATCGTCAGGGTCATCTGAAGTCTCCATAATATCGGCCTGATTCAACTGCATGTATTCAGTGTCAGCCTCAATATATTGTATTTCATGTACTGAAAACAAAATCTCCAGTCACAATTATCCCCACAATCGCATCGTGTATCGCTTGAATCCAATATAAGTTCAATTGTAATCTGATGCTCTCAATTGGCATATATATGAACTTCCTCAATTAATTTATTATCATTTCCACGCGTTATGCTTGATCTTCGAGTTTACCTCTTATAACAATTGATACTGTTTTTTCAATACAAAGAGCTTAGAAATTTTTCAACACTTGATGAATTCATTAAAGAATTAAAAACAAAATATATGCAAATAAAACACGGATTGCATCAGTCAGCGGAGTTAGCACAAAATGGCGCTGCACAACTAACAAATCGTCCAATGAAAGCGCTTTATAATGCGGCCGGTTTAAGTTAACGACAGTGTTAGACATGACTATCTTAGGTACGGCTTATAAGATATTTTTTATAATAACAAGTTATTTCTATAATAAAAATAGAAGAATATAAGACTATTGATACTGACGATTAATTCATGAGATATTATAAAAGAAATATGCGAATAGAACAGTGAATTAATAAACAGCTTGATGTAAGCGCTTTTAATGTACCTATAACCGATTAAAGGATTGAATTAGTATTTCTTTGTTTGAAGTCCAAATTTATCGATTACGCCAAGTCATTCCAAGAAATATTGTCATATACAAAGCCATTGTAATAATATCTCGTTAACAATGTTAACTGATCAAATAATAAAACATAATATTATGAGTTATGGAGACTTTTTAACTCGGTAGTATAATAACGAAGTCTGACATTTCAAGCACCTTTCTACTATGTCAAGGATCACCTGATAAGGCCAATATATTAATGAGGAAAAATGAGACAACCTTCATTTTATATTAAATAAAAGTCTATAAGATAAAATCGCTTCTGGGATATTAGAAGAAAAAAATCCCGTATTCTACGATAGTAAGAGAGAACTACGGTCAAGTAGAGAATAATTTTTTTTTTGGAACAACTGATAGCTAGAGTTAGCTTACATTTTTTGTATATTAAAAATAATTACCTGTATCGGATTCCGGGATAGGCTTATAAGAGGCGACGTGTTCCTCTTCTTTGGATTGTGCACCATCTATAGTAAGATGGTTTTTACGCGTCTCCGACATGATGAATTACTCTTTGATAAACAGGTTCAGCAAGAAATTAAATCTCTCCAATTTTCAGTAATTATATAGCAGCCCACATGAAAAACGTTAATTATCTTTCACTACAACGCGGTTTTAATGATACTCGCTCGCCCCAGTGGAGTTCGGGAACGGGTCGAGCGCGAATGAATGAATGTATGAATGAATGAAACATGATAATTAATACATGTATGTACCACACCCAAATATAAAAATCAATAAATTGACATTCATTCATAATTGAAAAGATTTTAAGCAACATAGAAAAATGATAACACAATTATAGTTAATTGTATTGAAAAAATAATAATAATATATCATTTAATTTAAATAATTTTAAAACTATGTTTTTAAAAATCAACTGGTAATTTTTCTTTTAATTTTTGTGTTATTGTAGTATTAAATCAGTTTTTTTTAATTTCAGCTGTTGCTTTTTTTTCATGGAATATGTAATTTAGTCTTATTTGAATTAGGTACATATATTCCGTTATTATCTTTTTACTGTTAACTTGTTGATTAATGTCTATTTGTCAAGTTTGAAGTTTGGACTTATCAGCTGAGATACTAGTAGAAGCATTTTATGTAAAATGCATGATGATTTATTTTTGTATTAAATCGAAATTAATAAACTATGTGTAAAAAATATTTAAGGATAAATATAAAAATAAGGGATAATTTTTAATTAAAATGTGCTCCCTACCGCCTGCACCTCCACCGCCACCACCCCCATTGCCGCCCAATTTCACTTCGCCAAAAATAACTTTAGATAATACTACCCCTCCAAGTCACGATAGTGTATGCGAATGGGCTCTACCTGATCTCTCGCTTTGGGAAGTATGTGCCAGAAATCAAATATGCCTCAATAAAGCTCCATATCAATACAAATACAAACATTTTAAATCAATTATGCAACAAGGACCGACTTGTGGCTTAGTCGCCCTCTCAATGCTGCTGGATGAACAGATCACTCCTGAAGAGCTGATGAATATAGCAAAACAGAACAGCTTCAGTAACAATGGAGAGATGTTCAGCTGTAACAATATGGCCAAACTCGCACAGTATGCTATTACTTTGATAAATAAAGAAAATATAAATTTTTGCGTAAAAATGGGTGGTCTCTTTAGTGAAGAAGTTATTCTCGAGCTTTTAAATGGTGCTGTATTATTAGTTGCGTATCCTTTTTAATATACACATGACACATTTTGTTAATATATAGAATTTTTAGACACTGTATTTAATGTTTTCCTGAACAGATAACAGTTATGATGCTGACTTTAACCACGCTCCTTGCTTAAGAAATGGTCACACAGCCCACTGGGCATTAGTCTGTGGTATAATAATAGTCTCCGAGCCATCAGACAGTTATATTTCAGATCCTAATAATGTTTATGTGTTGTGCAAACACGGCAAGTCGAGATACCTCACTGCATGGTCTCTCAGTGTATTGGATAAGAGTAACAAAAACCTTTGGGAGTTCTCTCCAAAGAAACAACAGGACGGCCTCATATACACACTGCCTGAAGGTGGCATCGGGGGAGAGAATGGTATAAGAGATCAATTTCTAATATTTTATGGTTTGTGAGTGTTATTTATTGTAATATATTATTTATTTGTTCTATACGTGTTTTATTGACATCAATGTTAGTGTGATAACATGATATATATCATATCATTGTTACAGAGTAGTAGGAATATGAAATAAAACAGAATTATTAATGCAAAATTTTATTTGTACAATAAATACAAATCATAGTTGCAAACTGTTAAAACAATAAATCTCATGACTTCACTTAAACATACATCGAGTTCAAGAGCAAAGAAAAATGTAAAACCATGGATATAGAGGCGGCCTATTATTGCACCTTAGCTCCTACAAACATATAAATTAAATGGAACAATCATTTAACTTTGTACTAATTTATTAAACATAAAAAGATTGAATTATGAGCCGTTATAAATGTATTACACGAGAGTAGAAACATCATTAACATATTCTATAGCATCATACACATACAGCCAAATAAGATATTAGATTTTGCCGTCAGTCAGCTTTGAGATCATATCGTTTAATATTACGCGTCAGCTAGGCCTCTACACTAAGGAATTGAGCTTCTTTTTGTTTTAATTGCTATTTATATATAATATAAGATTACAGAGAGGTTACACTTGTATGAATAAATTAAAACGGTTAAATACAAGCATTTAACACAAAAAGAAATTCCCATAATAATATTATATATATATATTGTTGCACACATCATACAGGACTAGAGAATCTTTACAATACATATAGTATTCTATGGAATTTTTAATACGATAAAAATAATAATCAAATACGATCATGTAATACTTCATCCGTAGACAGAACATATATAATTTCCTTGAAATTTGCTTAAAAATAATAATAATAATTCATAAATTATTTCACATAAAAGAAACTGAAAAAGTAATATTAATTTATTTTCAGACGGGATATAGGAAATAATTGAAAATAAATTCCATATATATATATATATATATATATATATATAAACGAGCCGTCCGTGTGTACGTGTTAACTATTGAACGCCTTACACTAACATCGAGTTTTATTAAGCGAACATCCAGATACATTAACTATTGTCAATAATTTGTGTTTCATTCACATCGCATTGTTATACAGACGGGTCTTCCATTAACAAACAGTCAATAATAAAACCAAATGGAAGCGTTTACATACAAATTGAATCAATTAAATTTGGCACTCACTTAAATAAAAACATATGGAAGACCTCCAAGTGTCCAAGCCTTGAATACGACCGAGTGTTGGACCAAAGAGATTTTATATAATAATTTCCACTGGATCACTATACTGTATACTAAATGTTCGTTGCGTTTTATATACTCTAAACATATATGTAACAATACTTTACACCTACCACGGGTTACCTTCACCTAAATAAACCAACAGTCTACAGTTTTTATTTAATATTCCCGTACATCTGAAAAGGTTGTGAAGGAAAACTGGGAATTTGTCAGGTTCAGTTCCGCTATGCTTCGTGGTAAGCGTAATGATTTGCGTTCCTCCGTTTGGCGACGCATTCTAATACGTACATCCTAATTTTGGTTTCCAATCAATTTTCCGAATAATCCTCCCTCAAACTCCCTACAATACAACTACGTACAACAGTCGACACATAACAAATACACATCATAGTAGCCGCGCGTCAGAAATAAGTTTCGAAGCTGGCTCGGAATACATATTAATAGAGAGTGAGGATACAGGATCTACGTCGACCCTCTCATGTACCGAAAGCTAACTACGAACTAATCTGCATATAAAAAATACAAAATAAACACAGCTAACTCACGCTCAAAACATCGATGAAAACGCTTTCTTAAATCACAGATTAAATAAAACCGCCAGCCGTCTGATATGTGACTCGTACACTACACACTACTCCGCGACGAGTGGACTACTCACGAACCATGACGAGTGACGTCACACCGATACCGACCCTACGCCGCATACAATAGAGTTCAAAGTCGCGACGCCTCATCGGAAGCTACATGTGTTACATTCAAACATCGACCTTGCGGCCGCGTGATAAGCCTCATTATTACCGAACGGATATATGATGATACGTTCCTATGAATCTGCGGCGTATTTTGAACACGCCGAGATTTTTCAAGGGGAATGACTTGTTTGTTTAGGAGTCCGAGGGCGCCAGCGGAGCCCCGCACGTGGCCACGGGGAAGGTCTTGACGTGCGTCTGCCACTGGGTCGACAGCTGGAAGAACTTCACGCCGTTCCACTCCGTGCCGTCTATGTACACTGAGGAACGAAGTTACGCTTAACACATATATAGAATATTATATGAAATATGTAGATAGTCTTTATTCCAAACTTGACATCAACTTCGAATTGAGGTCAAACACATTTATTATTAGTGTTCGAACATTTAAAGTAGAACTTTTGAGCTACGTACATTTAATTATAAGTTATAGCCCATGACGTATATTAAATTCTAGGTTACATTTGGTCAGTTTAAAAGAGATTTTTGACCCTATCAGGAGTAGTTCGGTGTAATTATACTAATATCTTTATCCCATCTCCCCCTACCTTTAAGGGGCGCGTTGTGTGACCCCTTGGCGGAGCAGATCAGCCTAGCGACTCCCTCCACGGTGTGAGCGCGTCCTCCTTCAGCCTCACCGGATTTCTCCTTTTTCTTTCCCAGGCGCATGACTGGTTACATCATATACATTTTGGTCAATATTAATCTAAGCTTTTTTTTCAAGAACGGTACATCAACATCACAAATATTCAGCACACATAAACAACAGATAAAATAGAAAAAAAATCTAGGACCTGATCAGTGGCGGCTGGTGGGTTATCGAACTGGTGGTGCACTTTACTAAAATATTAAAATTAGAAAATGCAACAAAACAATATAACGAGATGTCAATCATGGCTCAATTCGTCATACATCGGGTGCTCTCGGTAACCTTCGGGTCGCTCGTGAACCGACTCGTTACTCGGTACATTTCTATGAATTATGTTTTGTTTCACGCGCCAGGCGTATTAGTGCGTATCTCATACAAGATGTATTAGCAGTCCTCGTGCACTCGCCACAGCGCACGAGATATTAGTTTAGTAAAGCGCTCAAACTTTTTGACTATAATTAGAAATTTAACTTTTTATACGTATTTGTATGTTTAGAAAATAAATATTAAAATGGTAATTTAAAAAAAAAGATGAAGTAATATTTTGTAATTTTTAAATCTTTGAATTGGTGGTTCAGCGCACGAGTGCACTTAAGGTACAGCCGCCACTGGACCTGATATGAGTGACAATTACAGATGTATACAACATTCACACAAAGAAAAAACAAACTTATTGTCTACCAGTTGAATTAAATTAAGCTTTGTTATTATCGACGGATTTTTAAATTATTTTATTTCTCTTTTTATCGAAATGTCAGATGAAGAAGAAAATTTTCGTCAACTATCCTAACTGATATTAGTATAATATACTATATAAAATGTTCAAAAAGTTCAAACAACAATAATTATGAGGTCTATAGTTCTAGGTCATACTTTTTTGTTTCTTCTCCTTGGTGAGGTACGTGATACACAGGTGGTGGTTGTGCCTGGTGACCAGCAGAGCTCTAAAGGTCGCCTTGAGCGTCACCTTCCCCCCCTCCTGCCCCGCGCCCGCCGCGCTGCCCTCTGAACATCTAGCGCCAACCTGTAACATAAATAATACACGTTAATTTTCATATTTTCTATACTTTTCTTCTATATAACATCTATGTGTAACAGATTTTATCAACATAAAATCAGCAATTTGACTATGGAAAGTTTCCAAATAGTCGACACGTTTCGGCATTGTATTCCTTTTAATTATTTAAAAAGTGTAAAAACAACCTCAGTCTATTTTATTTCCACTCTGAAGACCTTAGATGAATAATATGTTGTTATAATATACATACATATGTATAAGTATTGAAGTACTCTATAAGTTTAGTTCTTGTAGGCAGTAGTGTGATAGTAATAAAAACCTATATCAGTATACAGCAATCTCATGATGGTATAGTACGTTTGATTTATATAGTGCACATGGATAGTGTAGGTGACATGTAAAATTTTTGAATGAAACATTCTTTTCTCGATTTGAACTGGTTTGTACTGCTTTTACTTCTCCCCGCACCTTCCTCACTTCACCCTTTGTAATGGTAGCAGCGTCAAATGTTGAAAACGCAATGTCAAGTAAAGAATAATTTATTATATTGTTTTTTCAAAATTTTTATAACTTAATTAAAAAAATCCATAATATTTCCATTTGGTCTTTTACAAGTTTTGGTTATTTTATAGCACTTATGTTATGTATCTATTTAAAATAAAATAAAATTGAATTCTAAAAGTTTTTGTCAAACTCTACTTTTACTTTCACTCACACAAATGCAAAGCTCAGCTTAAGTCTAACGGACTATATAATATTCGTACCAGCCAGTAATCCAGTTGTAGTTCCAAGGGCTCGGTCCGTGCGAAGGCGAGCGGCGGCGCGAGGTCCGGGGCGGGGGCCGGGGCCGGCGTGGCGGGGGGCGAAGGCCTAGCGGGAGGTGAGCCTCCTTCGTCTAGCTCTAGAGATGATGGACCGCCCTCGCCGCAACCGACACGCACCTCCTACAGATATATAATTTATATTATACAAAGAAATTTCATCGATACGAATTATTATATGTTGCTTTACTAATTGAGCTATCATGTCATGTCATATATCGTTAATAAATAAAAATTGTAAACTATAAACTTTATATTTGTAATTGTAGTAAATTTATTAGTAGTATTATTAGTTTATTCAAAAATATTTTTGCACGCCAAATCGGCAGAATATGTTGGACCACTGTAAATGTATGAAATACCTTTGTTAACCCATATTCGAGCAAATAAACAATTATTATTATTGTTAATCTAATAATGCCAGTATCATATTGTTACCGCTATAAAGGGCACGAAGGTCTGACTGGAGTCCTCATCGCCAGACCTCTCCCTGTAGGCGACCATCGCCTCTCCTATCGGTATGTTGTTCACAGGCCCGATGCTATTTATATACCTGTAACATATATATATTGTGTCAGTGGTGGCCTAGTGGTTAAAGGGCCCGCAACTCGTTACCGAGGATGCAGGTTTGATCCTGGCCCGGGCAAGTACCAATGTGATTTTTTTCTGAGTCATGTGTACTTTCTAAGAGTATTTAGACATCCCAGATTGATGCATTCCCAAACGAGGGTTGATGTCAGGCAGGCGGCCGGTCGTAAAAACAAATAGCCAAAACTATTCACATGTAAGGCAGACCCTGGCTATAGCTGGGAAATTGCCAGGTAGAAGAAGAACATATATATTAGTTCATAGTAATGTTTCTTGCAAGCAAAGTCTTTTCTCTTTCAGGCGACTAATCCCTATTCCAGAACAATTCGTAATATCTGGTTTCCTACATCCGTGGTTCATAATGAACAAGTCAAAGCCCATAATAATAATTCTAAAATACTAATCGTCGTATACAGATAATGTCACCACATCGGTCACTCTAACGAGATATCACTTAGTTATATTTTAGAAATTTTAAAAAAATGTGACTTATATTATTTTTCATCTGTGTATATATATATACAGGGTGACTGGTGAATTACTATCGATATTTGAGGACGTGATATTTGACGATCATATATGACAAAATAAAAATTAATATAACATAAATATTAATAAACTTCTAAGTAAAGTTAACCAAAAGTTGTGTAATTAATTACGCATCGTATGAACACCCTACAGATTAGGTACACACACACACACACACACATAGGCGCGCGGCGGCGTGTTGTTGTATCAGCACGCCGCCGCACGCGTCCACACTAGGAACACTTGGAACGTGTCCGCGCTTTATTTATTTATACGGAAATTTGGTCAAAAATTAAGTACCTATTTTTTTTACATAATTCGAATGAGAATCATGTACCGAGTATGCTCCTTAAATATTGATAGTAATTCACCAGTCACCCTGTATATATATAAATTCTCGTGTCACAATGTTCGTTCCCGTACTCCTCCATAACGGCTTGACCGATTCTCATGAAATATTGTGAGCATATTGAGTAGATCTGAGAATCGGCCAACATGAATTTTTCATACTCCTAAGTCATAAGCGTTGTTCACTCCTAAATTTCTTTTTTAAATTTTTGGACCAAACTTTTTGTTTTTATTTCTTTCTTTATAATGTGACATTAAAAAAACAACCCTAAATGTTTTCTTTTTTTCACCAACCCCTATTTTTTTATATGGTAAAACAATGCTTGCCGGGTCAGCTAGTATATGTATGTGGTATCACCTGGCCATTCTAGAGCTCATCTCAGCCACGTCAGCCATACACGCGTCCTGTGCTCGTTCACAGAGCGCGCTCCACGACTCGTTACAGAATAAACCGGCGTACGTGCTGTCCATGGCGCCCACCCAGCGAGACACTGTGTTCACACCTGTAACACATACACACACACTACTATACTACATGTATATAACACTACGTAGTTTAGATCCAATGGAATTAACATTTATTAATGTGTGGTGAATATTACTGGTATTTATTAGTACATATTTTCCTACACTCTACCATTAGGATGAATTTTCCATCATCACACTATATGCTTTCAGTTTTTATTATAAGCCTAGTACTGTCATGTGCAAAGATTTTATAATGATAATCTGGTAACGTTCTGTATGCAGTTTTAAATTACGAACTTGTTGTGAGGATACTGCGTGTGTGTGTGAGGTCACTGACCTGTAGGTATAATGTAGTATCTGAGGAGCGGCGCATCGTGTCTCCGTGCGGCGAGCTCGGCGTGCGCCCTAAGCGCTGCTGCCGCCGCCGCCTCTCCTCCACACACCACCACGCGAATCACACGCCGGACTCCTCTGGATAAACACACATATTAATAATACACGACACTAGCGCCATCTATGAACGCATTATATACAACAATTTGATTCTACTAACTAAAACTTCCAACTAATAACCAACTTATACAACATGTAATATAATTAACGCACACACTGAAAGTAGTTTGTTCCGTATCGGTATCTGGATCGCTTTTTATAGTTTTTTATGTAGGTCATTTTTTTTTCTCAAATTTAGATAGAACTAAGTAAATTACAGTCATGCTACACACAGTTATCTAAACACTTCATTGAAACGAAAATTGATCGTAAGTCAAGGTATTAAGACTTTTAAAATGAAATATTTAATTAGTAATCATCATTCAATTAAAGAAAACTGATACTTGTTTCAAGGCAAAAATTTAAGCTTGGCGTTAACAATGATCTCATTATATGTCTCACTGTTTAGCGGCCCGCGCGAGCAACGCCTGGAGGAGAGGCCTAGCGTCGGGCACGGCGGCCGGGGGCGAAGGCACCGTGGGCACGCCGAGCGCATGTAGGGCTCGCACCAGGCCCGGGGGCGCCACCGCTACACATTCCGGGCCTGGACCCTCCTCACCCAATATGCGTGACACTTGCTCTAGTAGAGTGCGACGTGGCTGGAACATATTTACTATTGTTAATATACCACAGGTCGTTTCGGCCTTGTACCAATGCGATTTTTCCGAGTCATATGTACTTTCTAAGAGCATTTAGACACCACTGACAGATGGTGAAGGAAAACATCGTGAAACCTGGACTTATAAGTTCAAATTATAAGTTTGAAATCGCTAACCCGTCTTGAGCGAGCGTGGTTATTAATGCTCAAACCTTCTCCATGTGAGCAGAGGTTTTTGCTCAGCAGTGGGCTCTGATAGGCTGATGGTGACGTATAACGAAATTTCATTGATTTTAATTTAGATTGTAATAGTATGTATTGTATTTGATTCGCTAAAAGAATGTTGATGTCAGGCAGGCGGCCGGTCGTAAAAAACAATTAGCCAAAACCTATTCACAACATGTAAGGCAGATCCTGGCTATAGCCGGGAAATTGCCAAGTAGAAGAAGAAGTATGTATGATATACCTCTAGGGTGGTGGGGCTGTGTGAGGGCAGGTCGTGCGCGCTGAGCGGCCGGTCCGTGTGTATCACGAGGGAGTTCTTCTTGCGCGACGACACGGCCGGCGTCAGGTTACCGCCACTAGTCGCGCTACGGAACAGACGGGAACGCTTGTCCTCCGACGACTGGGGACGAACAGATACCATTAATACAATCAAACAACAGCAGAAGGTACCCATCTAAATATTTACATGTGAATCCAAGCAGACTTTATCACGATTTAGGTATGGCCAATATCCATGGACTATCAACCTATGAGGTCAACCCACTATGGACCTACTGTTATGGTATTAAAGTTGTTATTGTATTGCAGGACGATTATGTTTTTTAATGAAAACCACGGTACGTGTTCACTGATACGTTGTTTATTTGCGACTACTTTAAGATTCAAACAGATCGATTACATTATGGTCAAAGTAATAATTTGTTTATATATGCATTAAAGAAAGACTCAACATTCCGCCCAACAAAGGACTATCAGGTCCTTTTACAAAAAATTAAGCAACCAAATTACAAATGAAATCAAATTAAATTAAATAATACAAACAAGTACCTAATCGTAAAAAAAAACAATACTAAGAATTTAAAAAAAAAAATAATAATAATAAAGTTATTAAATTACTCAGTGCTGCTAACTGGAAAATGACAAAGTTTCATGATTGATCTTTTTACCACATTATTACCAGATTTTACGCTGTATACTCTCGTACATCCATCTTCACCAGGATGCTTATCCACAATACGTCCCAATGACCATTTGCCGGGAGGCAAACCATCGGTCTTTATCAAGACTATATCGCCTATTTTTAATTCCTCAGTCCTTTTTAGCCATATAGGACGTTGCTGTAATCTCGAGAGATACTCTTGTTGCCACTTTCGCCAGAAATCACCGAGCAACTTCTGTGTATATTGCCATCTTGATAGATTATGTACCTTTGAATCCTTAAAGTCTGGTGAAGGTACGACAATTGGTGGTTCTCCGATTAAGAAATGGCCAGGAGTAAGAGGTTCTATTGAATCTGCATCTGTACTGTCTATAGGACATAGCGGACGGGAGTTTAGGCAAGCCTCAATTTGGCACAACACCGTGGACATTTCCTCAAAGGTAAGGTTGTTGGTCAGTACTCTTTTTAGGTGGTATTTCACTGATTTCACTCCAGCCTCCCATAAGCCACCGAAGTTTGGTGTGTAAGGTGGTATAAAATGCCATTGAGTTCCATCTAATGCCAATTCGTTGGCTATGTCACCGTCGAATATAAGCTTAGCGTCCTTCCAGGCTGTCGCTAATTCCTTATTAGCTCCTACAAAATTTCTTCCCTGGTCACTCCATATGTGTGTGCATTTCCCTCTTCTAGATATGAAGCGTTTGAATGCAGCAATAAATGCTTCGGCACTCAGATCTCCTACTAACTCTAAGTGTATGGCTTTAGTTGACATACAAACAAAGACTGAGATGTATGCCTTCTGAAGTTTCATACCTCTTCCCTTTGACATTAATATTTGTAAAGGCCCGGCAAAATCCACCCCACTATGTAGGAAAGCCCGGGTAGGAGTTACCCTTTGTTTGGGTAGGTCTCCCATGATCTGAGTCCGGAAAACTGATCTCTGTCTTGCGCATATCAAACACTTGTGAATGCATGTCTTCACTAAACCCTTGGCTCGTATAATCCAATATTTGTTACGTAAGTAACAAAGCATCAGTTGAACGCCTCCATGCAGCGTTCGAGCATGTGCATCGGCAACAATCAGGGTAACTAATTTACTTTTGTTTCCTAAAATTATAGGGTGTTTAGCTAGTTCATCTAAATTTGCATGCCGAAGGCGACCGCCCACCCTGAGGATATCATTTGTATCCAGGTAAGGATTGAGTGTCTTAATAGTACTGTCTCCTCTTACAGCTTTGTTCCTTTTTAATCTATCTATTTCATTTGTAAACTCTTCATTTTGTACTAACTTAATACAGGACGAAAGTGATTTCTCTAATTCTTCTGTTGTAAAATTTTCATCCACTTGCTCTAAGCTTCTTTTAAAATTTAAAAATCTTCGACAGTAGGTAATAGTTTTTAATAATTCCTTTAGACATCTAAATTCCTCTATTTGTGACATTAATCCCTTCCCTTCCTCTTCCTGTTGTAATTTTAAATTAGTTTGTATTTTTTCTTTTTTTATTTCCAGGTCTGTATATACTTCTGTTTGTTTTAATTTTATTTCTTTTTCAGAAAGCCAAACTGGACCCTTCCACCATAGATCAGCATTCTTCAAGTCAGCGAGTAACATTCCTCTGGACGCTATGTCTGCCGGGTTTTCTTCAGACGAAACATGGTACCAACGGTTATTATTGAGGTTCTCAATAATTTCTACTACTCGATTTGCTACAAATGGCTTCCATCTATTCGGTTCCCCTGATAGCCATGCAATTACAATTGACGAATCTGTCCAGGCATACATTTGTATCATCTCTATCCTCATAGCTTGTCCGATTTGTTTCAGTAATCTTGATAACAACAATGCTCCTGACAACTCTAATCGTGGTAAAGATATTGTACGTAGTGGTGCGACTCTAGTCCTCGAAGCAATAAGCTTAGTCTTGATGAAACCATCTGCAGTTTTTATTCGGATGTATGCGACTGCGGCATATGCTTGCATCGAGGCATCACTAAAACCATGGATTTGTATTTCAGTGTCAGTACTAATTGTTCCGAGCCATCGGTCAATATGAATTTGTTCAACATTTTTAAAATCTTCACGAATAATCATCCATTCTTCTTCTAATTTATGACTTAATTTATCATCCCAATCCACCTTTTCTACCCATAGCCTTTGTATGAGTGTTTTAGCTTTAATTAAAATTGGGGAAATCCATCCTAATGGGTCGAATAATTTTTGAATATCGGATAAGATTATTCTTTTCGTAATATATGATGGATGAGGTGGTAAGTTACATCGATATGTAAAGTCATCTGAACCTAAGTTCCAAATCAATCCTAGTGCTTTGACTGTACCATCCAGTTTTATATCCAAATGTGCATGAGTTGTTCGATGACTGGGTTCAATGGATCTCATAAATTCAGGACAATTCGATGACCACTTTGAAAGTTTGAAGCAACCCTTTCGTAGTATAGAAGATATTTCTTTTGCTGTAATGATTGCATTGTGTGTAGTGTCATCTCCTGACATCAAATCGTCCATATAGAAATCTTCTTTTATAATTCGCGCAGCTTCAGGATGATTTTTGCCTTCATCTTCGGCGATTTGATGCAAAGTTTTAACCGCAAGGTAAGGTGCAGAAGCAGTACCAAACGTGACGCGAAGTAAACGATATTCTTTAATATTTTTTGATGGATCTTCTCTCCACAGAATTCTTTGAAAAGTATCACCATCCTCTTTATATACCATAATTTGTCTGTACATCTGTTGAATGTCACTTGCGTAACATACACGTTTCATTCTCCATCGCATGATTAAATTCCTCATATCTTCTTGGAGTTGTGGCCCCAAAAGAAGTTCATCATTAAGTGAGACGGAGTTCGAGCCCTTTGCAGAAGCATCAAACACAACTCGTGTTTTCGACGTATCTTTATCTTCGCGGACTACGGCGTGGTGAGGTAAGTATACAACCCTTTCTTTATTTGTTTCATTTTCAGGTATTTCTTCCATATGTTCCAGTGTTAAATATTCTTTCATAACTTTAATGTATTCTTCTTTCAGCTGTGGTGATCTTCTAAATCTTTTTTCTAATTGCAGTAGCCTTTTTGTAGCGACTTCCTTAGTGTTCCCGTCAACTGATATTGGATTATTTGTTTTAAAAGGTAATTTTACAATATATCTTCCTTCTTTTGTTCTTGTATATGTCTCTTCATATATTTTTTCACACATTACTTCTTCTTTTGTAAGCTTTCTTTTATTATCAGAGTCTATCTCCCATAGTGATTTCAGCATGTTGTCCACATCTACTTGATGATGGAGAACCAGAAATGATTCTTCTTGTTGCTTCGTGTCTATCTCTCCAAACAAGATCCAACCCAAGTGTGTCTTTTGTGCACAAGGAGAACCTGCTGGACCCTTGATCAGGGGTTGTTGTATAATTTGTGCATATTCTTTTACGCCTAGAAGCAAATCTATAGGACCTGGTGTATGGAAGCTAGGATCTGCCAGGTTGAGTCCTTCTAGGTGTGGCCATTGGTGAACAGATACAGCTTTGGACGGGATCTTAGTTGTAAGTTGCTTGCTCATAACATAAGCTTGTAGATTAAGTTCAAAATTAGAATCCCAAATGGAACCTATCTGTAGCATTACTACATGCTTAACGTTTGTTTTTGTAGATCCTACTCCAATGATACTTCCTCTCGCTGATTGTTTGTTAAGATTGAGCATTTGAGCCGCCTTCTCCGTTATAAACGATGCCTGCGAACCTTGGTCTATTAGCGCACGTAAAACAACAGTATGATTTTGCTCGCTTCTAGTTATTACCGTTGCTGTCGCTAGTAGTGCTATACCCGTGTTTTGTCCAATACTGTGATGAGACGCTACCATTGTATTGACTTGGAATTCTTCTTCTTGTTCTTCTACGACGTGGTGTGATACCTCCGGTTGAATTGAGCTCGACGATACTGGAGTATCAAATTGCTTCTTATTGTGTAGAAGAGTGTGATGGCGTCGTTTACATATCCTGCATGACTGGGACAGTCTACATTGATGTGCTGAGTGTCCCGGTACCAGACAGTTAAAACATAGGTTGGTTTTCTTTACATATTGACATCTCTCAGTAGGTTGCAGTTTACAAAATTCTTTGCAGTGGCAAAGTGCGTGGTCTTCTTTACATAGATAACAAGATTTTTTACATGACGTAGCAACGTGAAAAGATCGTTCCTTTACAGGTTTTTCACGTGGACCCGATGACGTTACAAGTTCCAAAGTGCGGTATTTCGATTGCAAAAACTTCTTTAAATCATTCCAGGTAGATAATTCTTCTGTGTCTTCCTTGTATGCATTTTGTTCCCAGTCTTTATGTGACTCTGGGTCCAACTTCTGTACCACCAGAAAAATAATTAAAGGATCCCAAGAATCCGTGGAAATATTTAAATTTTGTAAATTATTTAAACAATCTGTCGTGACGTCTAATAAATTTTTTATTTGTACTGATGATTGAGAATTAATTTTCTTCTGATTAAATAATTTTTTCAAGACTGAGTTTATTATTAATCTTTTATTACCATACCTCGACTTTAAAATACTCCATGCTTGTTCATAATTTTTATGTGTTATTTTTACGTGTTTTAACAATGTTTCGGCTTCTCCAGTAATGCTAGTCTTTAAATAATGTAATTTTTGAACATCACTTAATGAAGTATTTTCATGCACTAATGAAACAAATAAGTCCTGGAACGTAGGCCATTCTTCATAATTTCCGCTAAAGGTGGGTAATTTAATTCTCGGCAACCTGATTAGTTGTTCTGAATTGTTTGCTGAACTTGAATTGTGCGATATGGACGATTCCGATGATGAGGCCAATATATCACGCAAATCCGCCACCAATATCAAATATAAGTCTTCGTATATAAAATAATCTTCATTTACGAAGTATTGTAATATTGACCTCTGCTCCTTGGGTGTTACTCGGGTTAAATCTTCATGAGTTTGCTTAAAAGATGACCAATACTCTTCAATAATTTTAATTCTTGCTTCGACGTAACCTTTTGTTAAACGTGATTTCGGACATTTTTTCAAGTTAATTTGAGTTTTCTTTAATTTTGTTGCAATATCTTCTAATATATTTAATAATTCCGCAGTAGTACTCATCGTTATCGCTCGGGTCTCGGTTCCTTTTGTTCTCGACGGGCGATCGTAGCTCAGGTAGTTAGTTCCCGATCCGGCTCGAATTCGACCATATGTTATGGTATTAAAGTTGTTATTGTATTGCAGGACGATTATGTTTTTTAATGAAAACCACGGTACGTGTTCACTGATACGTTGTTTATTTGCGACTACTTTAAGATTCAAACAGATCGATTACATTATGGTCAAAGTAATAATTTGTTTATATATGCATTAAAGAAAGACTCAACACCTACTATGGGCCAATATTTATTTATTTATTATTAGGGAAACATACAGCATATCGTATATTACAACTTAATATAATAATCATATTTTAACACTAATGCCAGTTAAGTTTCCACTACTGTTTTAACAGGGAAGTGGACTAATTTTGATGTTACATAAAATAAAACTATTTAGGACAAAGTAAAATTTTACCGTAATGTGGTTATGGTTAATTACTAATAAGTATTTTTCACAAGATTAAACTATGGGCCACTATGGACCAATGTCAACAAAGTACCTTAGTCTCATTAGGCGGCGAGCTGGACACAGATGCTCCAGACACAGGCGCGTCCAACGTCACGTCTCCATCACTGTTCCCTTCACTGGCTCGCTCGTCACCCGCTGAACTACGTACAGCCTCTGACTCTAACAACACACCAACACTTACAAACACTCCTTACATTATAAAGTACAGAGTAGATATATACAGAGGAAATCAAACAAAACGTGTCCGTTACGATTGCGAAGCGTTAAACTATCAACACAAACAAATAAGGCTATGGAAATAGAAGTGAAACAAAACGATAGACAGACAGAAAGCTCTAGACTAGAACAAACATTAAATATATTATAATATACTGGTTCAATATAAGTTGAATATATATCTGTTAGGATTGGAACACCCTGTGTTATCACCAGACAAGTGTTTGGTCTCTATAGCTCAGAGTATTCTGTGTCTTATGTGTATGAGGTGAAGGTGTACATTCGTACCTGTGAGCGGCGCGGAGGCGAGTCTGTCGCGCGGCCGCAGCTCCCCGGCGGCCAGGCTCGCGTGGCGCGTCACTGAACATGCGGGGTTTATACTGGATAGACGGGTACGGGTGCGAGTGTGTATGTGTGTGGCTTTGATATTATTATATGGAATTTCAAACAACAATCGAGATCATACAGCCAATGTTATTTTCTCTATCTTAATTTAATTCTAATAGATTTTTTGTTTGTTGTTTTTAATTTAATCTGCCAGTTACTTTCTCATCAGGATAATGTACGAGTTAAAATTATTTACTATATATTTTTAAATAAAAGATGTGATCATCGCAGAAATATTTATTTTAATTTTAATTAGTTTATATAATATCAAACAACGTGTATGTGTGTATCTACTCCGTCTGTCCGTCACATGCACTACACTATGCACACAGCATCACAAAACAGAACACAAAATATAAATCATGTTATGCGTTACATTTATGAATACTTTAGAAAAAGGACAAGTCACGGGCGGGGACGAGTTACGTTACTATACTTGTCTTTCTTCCGTGACGTCACTAATGCAAAACAAAACAAGCCACACGATGCTTCGACAGTCCGTGATAGAGATCTTTATCATCGTAATACTATCGAGTAACATACAAGTGGGGTCGGTATTGAACTTTGAATTTTATATCACTGTATATAGAGCACATTTTAGTGTAAGATCGCGGTCTGTATACCGTTGGAATGTCTGTGATGTTCCTGGTTGGCGAGGCTCCTGGAACTGCTGAAGAAAGGCCGCAGCGAGGGTTTGGGCGTGGAGCCGATACTGATGGTGTCCATTTGATCCGGCCCGGAGTCCTCGCCCTCGCCGCACGATAGGGATTCCAGCTCCTATAACAAACATACACCATATACACTACAACTAATACTCTCTATTTTTATACACAAAACAAGCCCTTACAAAGCCATATGAATACACTACAACTAATACTCTGTTTTTATACACAAAACCCTTAAAAAGTACTGACATGACACTGGCAGAATATACATACTAGTGTGCACGTCTTTAGGACATATTTTAAACAAGCAACCAAAAATTACTCATAAATTATTGTAAAGCATAAATAATACCCTAATGTCAGATATAATAACTTCTACTAATAAATTTATATGCAAAATCATTTTTTTACCCAAAGTGTAGTACTAGTTTTTTACCCAAAATGTAGCACTAGACCATTGCTCAAAATTTCCAGTGCAATGAAATCTTATACAGTATAAATACAATTTAAGCCTATTCACTCCTGCGTCAAACTAATCCTAAATATGAATGTACTACAACTTCAATTACCCTTTATTAAACCTGTGCCGCCTTTTTTCATTCCCAAACAAAATGCAAAAACCTTTGATTAAGTTTATAACATACGTGTATTATTTTATTTTCAACCTAATAATAAAGTATATAAGTCACATATTCCCATGTCTAACCTGGAACAGTTCATCTATATCTCTCTGCGCGTGATGCGTGTCCCGGGTCGCTCCTCGGTCCGCCAATTCCTCCGGCACACGGAACCTCCTCAACAACGCTGCGAACTTCTGCTTCAGATTCCTTTGCTGAAGATAAATCGATTATAAGAATAAGTTACATAATAACATATAATTTTCATACAAATTGGATGTAATTATATAGCAATCCACTCATTAAACATACCAACACACAGTCCACCATTATATATAATAACTGAGCACATAGCAGGACAGTCGAAGAAACGGACAGAAGATTATTAAGAAGACAACGACAGCTCCATAATGATGCGAATATTATATCACAAGTAATCTAATCTTAAGCGTACTGATACAATGAAAACATTGTAATGCTATGCAATAATCTATCTTATTGCAAAAACATAAAGTCGGTTTTACATTAACTCGGCCAAATCACGACGAAGTTACCTTCAGATAGGAAAATTTGTTTGTCTCCGAATTAGTCATTGTGTGAAAAGTATATAATACATTAGAGACCTTTAAAGAAAAACCAAAGACGATAAAGATTTTTAAGAAATATTATCACATGCACAGATTAAAAATATATCTAGCTATATACAAAACTACCACAAAACATAAAACTACATGTGAATCAAGACGAATTTCATAACTCAGGGTTGCCAGGTATAAAAAATATTCTAATTTATATATTTTTTTTATATAACTGTTAACTTCATATATTTTTTATAGTGGCAGCCCTCTACATATTATGTTATTCAATTCTCGTCTCTATCCGTATACACATAAGATGCCCGCTCACCGCGAGCTTGCCGCTACTGGCCTTTCTCTTGCTGGTGGTCTCCACCTCACTATCGCTGTCTCTCTCTTGCTCCTTGGACCTTATATAGCTCTGTATCTTTCTCTCTCGCTCCCTGAAGCTTAGCTCTCTCGAGCGTGATAGCTATAAGCATATTTGAGCTAAGCGTGAAGCACACTATATATACCATTAAATAGATAATAATAATCAAAGCAAACATAATTATCAATATAGATTATATTTTGTTAAGTGAAAATAACTATCAACGATTAAATAAGAATATACATACATATATAGAAAAATACTGTCCAAGCTCTATCTAATCGTTTTATATTATATAAAAGATAAATAAATATATAATATATGTGTGTGAAGCGAGCTATCACCCATATAAACTATGAGACGTGTTCCGTATAGTCAGTATATATACCTTAGTATATGAGAGGTCTCCTTGTTTGAAGGCCAGCTGCCTGTGCGTCCTTCTGCCCGCTGCTCCTCCGTACGTCATGTCATCAGCTTCATCCACCGAACTGAATTCCCCTTCCTCCTCTTCGTCGGAGTAACCACGCTCTGGAACATAAACACCATATATGTATATACATAAATATTCAACACTATCTTCATATATATAATTCTTCTGTGAGTGTGTTTGTCACTGAACTTCTCTCAAACGACTTGATCGATTTTGATGAAAGTTTTTGTGTGTGTTCAAGGGGATCTGGGAATGGTTTAGATTCACAATTTTGTCCGCTGGACAATGTTTTTTTTGATTAATTTTTAATTTATTAGTAGTTGTTGATACAAACGTTTTTTTTTGACATTAGATTTGACAACTAACTAATATGTCAATCATTCTGTTGCACTTCAAAACACGGAGATTTATGGCTTTAATAGGTAAACTCCAAAAATATAAATAAAAAACGTAACAGATATTTCTTGATTATAGGGCGATACTAAGTTCGCCGGGTCTTCTAGTATACTATATAATGTTGGTCAGGTAATGCGTTGGTATTAATATTGGAAAGCATTTACTTGAATTAGGCTGATGGAAATTTCTTTCTGACCAATTATCGAAAAGAATTAAATAAAAATGATTCAGAAATAATATACTAATTTTTATAGGGCCGTGTTAGTAACGAGGCAAATATATAAGTTTTGGGGTTTGTAAAAGTGGTGACAGTTGAGCAAAAGGTAAATGACAAGCAATACACATAAACACCCTCTAGCTGAGTTGTCTCTATAGAGCCGGTAGTAATAGATACTATTAAATGTAGAGTTGTACAACAAAAACAAATGTAATGGAAGTAATAAGGCCTAAAGACAGACAGCTAAAAACTTGAGACCTAGCTAATGCTTTCATCCTTTTCACTCATCATAAGGAACTTATCCCAAAACTTGATACAGTTCACGAATTATTCTAAGCCCTACCAATAACCAAATAGAGTCCATTTTCGCCCGACACAATAGGAGAACAGACTCCTTAAATAAAGCAGATTTCTAATAAGGTATACTGACCAGTGATGAGCAGCGTGTTGTTGTTCTTGGTGTCGTGATCAACCGGTGTGGAGGCGAGGCCGGTGATGGTGAGCCTGGCCACGGGCTGCCCACCAGCGCCCACCTTCCCGCCCACGCTGGTCAACTCTAGTTCCATATCCATCGAACGTTGCAGCACCTGAGGATTGGATATATGGTTAAGACTCTTTCCATTACCCATTTTGAAATATATATAAGCATGAAGAGATCTAAGATTTTCACATCAAAAATAAAGTGGCGTAGTAAATCCGAAAAATATTAGTTTCATTTAAATATATAACGATAAATTTATAGAGATATGTCTAATCAATAATTTTATTTTAAACAGAAATGACTGATCATTTCAAATTTAATTTCCAACTTTTTAACAAGATCGTTTTGTAATTTTCTCTTTTTGTGTTATACATTTAACGTTGTTTACCGATTCAATTCATTTAATCGTTTACTTGGTTATCAACAAGGAAAGAAAGCCGACCAGGTCGTTGACCTAACAATAATTTTAGTGAAAATCTTAAGAACATTTTTTTAAACCAGTTGTAAGCCATGAAAAACGGATTCCTATCTTTATGAAGATGAAGTAGAAACTGTCGCAGACGCGTTTTATATTTTAATTAACTGTCAACGGACATTCGTAAAAAAAAACTAAATAAAAAATCTAGCTCTGTCCACTGCGAATATTTAAAAATGTTACATTGGCAAAATACTTCATACATCCAGTGGGAGTGAAGCATAGAAAAAATATATTTTGATGGCGTGAACCACAAATATTTGTTTTTTTAACTGGTTTGTATATACGTTTATATAAATATGTTATATTGATCACCGAAGTTGTTAACAAATAATAGTTATATAAAAAACTACATTTTAAATTTAAAAAAAGTCATTAAAATATTAATTTAACAAATAACGAAGGATTTAATCACAGCAACGTCGACTCATATCATAATAATTTCAATAAATTTTTATTACGACTTAATTGAATTAATTAAGATATATATTTTAATTAAAAATATTAATATGATGTCATTCCAATTACGTCGCATATAATACCACGCGAGTGACGTTACTAATTGACGGTATAACTACATTCGCTCTTTACCTTTTATTATTAATATTTATAAATCCACAGCGAATGAAACCATAGCACTTAAAAATATTTAAAAAAGGTTGAAAATTAAATAAAATAAATTTGCACCTTTAAATTCTTTGTGGTACGAGAAATGAGAATATGCTTATTAATTTTATTGAAAGTTTTTTAAAAAGCCAAATAACAATAAATCTGTCATAGACACAGAAAAATAAGACAAGTACTCCTAACTAGCCTCCTCTCTAAGTAACAGGAATAAAATCATTTACTTATTTTCTGACGGTTGTCTAAAAACTGAATATGTTATTCGTTCTTCACCGATATGTCAATACAATTGACATAAACAATTATTGCCAGTAAAAAAAGATGATATTTTAATTGATTTTTTTAATATTTTTACAGCTCTCGATACGAGTCCTTTTGAGCCTATTCTAATTGGAAATAAACCACAACGTTACCATATGTAAATAATAGTGCGTTTGACTTTTCCCATATAATATTAAGAGGACGAGACGAAAGCTCTCAGCATTCAATGGATTCACCGTGCGGGTGTCGGGTCCATCGTTGTAGGGTGAGGAGCTTTAACAGTGACTGGGACTTGCGACCCAGGTGTAGGTTTAATGGGCCCCTGTCTAACGCGCTATCTAATATAAAAGATATAAAAATTAACTTGTTCTCACCTGATCCATCCTAATGACACCTTCAGCTAGAGTCTTGTAGCCGAGTATCGTGCGATTCTTATATTTCTTGCGCCTCTGAAGCATTATTTGCAATCTGAAACCATTCGTTATATAGAAAATATTACTTAATAAAAATATATATCTCTTTGAAATTGTAAACCTACTTAGGCTTGAAGACAATACGACTGTTTTATAAATATAATGATATTTTATTTCATTTCATTATACTTATTATTTATATTTACTTGTATTTATTACTTATATTGTTCGTATGTGGAATATTTCATAACATAAGCCTGTTTTAAAACGAAATTATGGACTTTAAAATGGGACACTACTTTTTTCAGCAATATTACTTTTGGTTTTTTTAATTAGAATTCATTATAAAATTATAATTGTTATTGTATCATTAACTTATTATTTTGCTATCTATAAAACTATCTGTAACCTTATTTCTTTTAAATTCATAAATTTAGCTGACTTATATGCTTGTAATAGTTAAGCAAGCCTTATAAAATCGTTTAGGATATGTGAGAAAAAAATGTGTTTGTAAATAAATAAGGAATTCCAAAATATTATCAACAGTGAGAATATTATAATGGAATCCATACTGGAATATACTGGAATCTGGAATGAAAGGAACGCGAACAAGTCGATCGTGGAAAAATTCCAACATAGAATGAGAAGATATGACAATGGAATACTTTAGCATATATAAATATATATTGTGTTAACGGAACATGGAATCCAAAGTATTGTCTTTGATATTATAATATACATATACCAATAAATATATATAGAACAAAGTAAATAATTAAAACGAAGAAGAATATATTTCATTTATATAAGAAATTGAATCACATACTTTTAAGTAATAAAAAAATATCGGACTGGAAACTGGTCTAAAACAGCTAGAGTCCATTTAGATACAGTTCTCGGGAAAATCAATTATTGGCTTTAAATCTAAACCTCTAAATCTTTTATACTACTTTAGATTATTCACTGTGGCTTCAATAAGATCTTTGTTACTACATATTTATCAATACATTTCAGTCCATTTTTATTAGATACTAGCTATCCGCCCGCAGCTTCGCCCGCGTGGAGTTCGGTTATCGCGTTTCCAAGAGAATTATTCAAAAGTCTGGGATAAAAACTATCCTATGTTCTTTCTCAAGGTATACTCTATCTCTGTACCAAATTTCATTAAAATCAATTCAATGGTTTAGGCGTGAAAGCGTAACAAACAGACAGAGTTACTTTCGCATTTATAATATTAGTAGGGATCAATACACCGAATATTTATGACGTACGTCAATCAAACTCTTAAGTACATCAGTTCAGTTATAGACGGTTGCTATCAAATCCAATAGCAGCATTAAGGTCAACCTTGACCTACCATCATTAGATGGTCACATTCGTGCCCCATCCATCTTCGATAATAATAAAATCCTAAGAGCTTTCTTATCTAAACGCCGCTTTTTATAGAAAAATATTGCTTTTTGTTTTTCGTAATAAATTTGTTGTCATCACATTTTAAAAACCTTTTAGGATAACGGATTTACCAGACAAAGTACGGTACAGTAATTGGATACTAAAGAAAGGTTCTTGGAAATTTTTAATAGGACGAAAATAATGCTCATGTTTTCTCAATACTAATTTATAAAAGGGAATGTTTTTAAGGGTGTATTTATGTTAGCCGCTTTTTGACGTTAAATATAATGAACGAATTTTGATTACACTTTCCAATAATGTAAGCTAAGATATAATACATAGACTATAATCCCGTCATTCCTATTCCATAGTTTCTTAATTAATTATTTCTCTTTGACCAAAACTCCGAAGACAATGAGGAAGGCATGACTGAGAGTAACTAGTATAATCATAAAAGGACTATTCTGGTTTCAAGTCTTAGGTCAAAGCATAAATAGAAATATCTACGAAATATAATAATCAATGAAATAGTCTTTTCGCACAGAGAAGGTGGTAGAGACTAGCTGTAGTCAATTGATAGAGCTTGAACATGGGCTGGCTCGACTAAGGAAGTACCACCCTCGCACGGAAGATTGGAAGTAGTATTTTACGGCTTTCGTCCGAAAAGTAAAAGAGTCGGTTGCCCTTTTCCTTCCCTCCCTTTCCTGTCTTCTCCCCAATCAAGGGTGACAACGCATACGTCACATCTTTTATGTTGCAGATATCCATGAGCGATGGTAACTAATGACCATCAAGTATCCAGTCTGCACGTTTGCCACTTACTCATAAAACATTCAATACAAACTCTCACTGACCTGTTCCCATCTCGTTTAACGAAATGCGGATACTGTAGCGTGAAGCAGAGATCCAGCTCTACGTCCATGGGTGGTACTGTGATGTCGTTGGAGCGGAGGGTGCGCTTGCTGCTGTGCATCCTGGCTGCGAGGGTGACAGCCCCGGCGCCCGCACTCCCCGCGCCGCTCCCCCCGGAGTCGCCCAGGGAACCACACACGCGGAGACGAGTCACACGAAGAGTGCACAGCCTGGAACAAGTATACACCAACCTTATAAATATTATATGAATGATTGTTCGTATGTTTGTTTTGTAGCTGATGATGGCTAAACAATCGTCGTAATACGTAATTGAAGGAATAAAATATATCCCAAATCAAATTTACTAGAAGCCATGTACATGTGTAAATATTCCTATATCTTATATATATAAAAGAATGTTGGGTTAGTTATACTATTTATAACTCAAGAACGGCTTACGATGTGGTTGAAAATTAGGGGGGGGGGGGCAGCTTAGAACCAGGAGGCAGACATAGGACACTTAATTCTGCTCGATTAATTTATAATATTTATGGCCTTTAGTGCAGAATAGAGTTCATCCGATCAGCTATACATACATACATATATGTATTACCAAGTAACAGGCAAAGACTAGTACATAGTATATGTAATTTTATGGCCTGGAAGCGATACCAATGTACATACGACAAATGTTGTTTATATTTAAATGATAGTAAAGTCTCTGTACCGCTAGTAGATGTCACGCGACTGCCATTACTCGAGCCCCTCCTGACTCAAAGTCATTTAGAATTATCGAGTAACGTTACTAGATCGATATTTCTTCTATTTTTATTTTCGCCCTTCGATGTTGTAAACTTTTGCGAGCGTTGTGTGGACTTTAGTGGAAATTATTTAACAACAACGCAATATAATCATTATAATATAAAATTATCGACGTAAATATAAAGCGCATAAAAAGCTTTTCAGTTTTTCGTAATAAAATACTGTTCAAGTACATTATAAAGCATATTATAAAAACAAACATATTATGTATGTTACAAAACATATTGAAAACAAATGTGTTAAGATTGGTATCCTAAAAACGGAAAAATCACGAAGTCTTAGCTACATATAAACAATTAATAATGAGATCTAAGACTTTCGAGAGTATTCATTTAAATGAGACTTAAATTCATTTAAATTTAAATGAATTTCGTCTGCCCGTGATGACGGTTGCTGAAAAGTAACCGAAACGTCCTGAGTATGTTGCTTTCATTTAAATAAATAATGATCTTTAGCCATGTATTTTTTATTATAATATATGTATATATAAATAAGTCTTCTAGTTTTCTCTGCCCTCTGGCTCTCCGGAATCCTACCTTATATAAATTGTTCATAAACATTTCAAATACAGGTGACAGGCACAATGCAAGTCGTTCCAATTCTCGAACGTCTCGGAATACCAGATTTCCAGGTGCACAGATAATGTCACACACAGAGGCAACACAAATCCAGCTGTAGAACGAAGAAATGTTATATAATTTAATTTATATTAAAGCAGAATATCTTCAGAAGTAAATAAAAGTTTATATAAGGTTTATATCTTGGATTTTATTTGAGACTAGTTTTTGCCCGCGACTTCGTCCGCGTTATTTTCGTCATTAGTAATATATGTATAGCTGACCGGGCGAACTCTATTCCGTTTTAGAGGCCATTAATAATCAGGTTTCTCCTGTTTCAATCGAACAAAATGATTGACATAATAGTTAGTTGTCAAATCTAATGTCAAAGAAAACGTTTGTATGGGAAATAGAAAAGGGCTGTTTTTATGGTTTTCCCAGTAATGAATCAATTTTTTTCAGCTTTTATACCTTCCCTGAACCTCCACGAACATTTCAAGACTAAGATAAGATAAATCTCACCAAAAACATGCCTGTTAAAAAGGGGGCCAAGTTCCAATCGGCTAATTGTTTGCCTAAAAAAGGGGTGAAATCCAATCTAATGCCAAGTTTAGATGCACTTTGAAATCGATCATAATCATCTTCATCAACAGCATGATCCACTGGTAAACATTTGCCATTCCCAAGACTCGCCACCACACCCAGTCCTCTGCCTTCCACATCCAGCCACTACCCGCCACCTTATTCACGTCAACGGTCCATCTGACCGAAATTCACTTTACCATACACCCAACTTAAAATATGGTATAGTTGTGAAAATACGTAGGTGCTTGGTTAAAAATATCTAAAATTATAACACTTCTCAATTTGAACTTGGCAGGTTTTTGTGCTGTTATTATTTAGTTATATAATTATTTATATTTATATAATTTAAATATACTAAATTTAAATAATTAAATTAACCTGCCAAGTTCAAATTTAGAAGTATTATAATTTTAGATATTTTTAACCAAGCACCTACGTATTTTCACAACTATACCATATTTTAAGTTGGGTGTATGGTAAAGTGAATTTCGGTCAGATGGACCGTTGACGTGAATAAGGTGGCGGGTAGTGGCTGGATGTGGAAGGCAGAGGACTGGGTGTGGTGGCGGGTCATGGGAATGGCAAATGTTTACCAGTGGATCATGCTGTTGATGAAGATGATTATGATCGATTTCAAAGTGCATCTAAACTTGGCATTAGATTGGATTTCACCCCTTTTTTAGGCAAACAATTAGCCGATTGGAACTTGGCCCCCTTTTTAACAGGCATGTTTTTGGTGAGATTTCAATACTTTTTTTCAAGAAATCGTACATACAATCGTACTATACAGCCGTACAATGCATAACTTACAGCATGAAACATACAGCTACCATCTGATGGCATAGGAATTACCCTATGTGGTATATCTCCGCCAACCACCGAAAGATGTACAATTTCCATCGTTGGTAAATGAATAGTAGAAAAGAAATAGAGTGAATTTGTGCTTTTAACACACACAAGTAATCAATCAATAAGCAATATCAAAATTAATCCTTTAGCAAGTCAAATCAGTGATCCATTTAATCGTAATCGTAACCATATATAAGATATCAAGATATAAGTGTAGAAAGAAATAGAAAGAAATGACCATCGATTCCTTATCGACTTTCATTCATATATACTGCAGACAAAACAATATCGTGATTCAATTATACCGCTAGCACCATCTATCGAAAGTAATTTATAACAATAGAAACCTGATATTTTAGGTAAGCAATATTTAATTAAGTTATACAGTGTGCATAATGTATACATGACAATATTTTTTATCCCTTATATATATATATATATCAGTTCTTAAGAAGCGCCCCACACTTTTTTCACAATAATATTAATTTAAAAATAAATTAACAAACAATAAATGGTATTTTTGTGAAAAAAAAGCGTGATGAGCTTCATATATCACTTCTTGAGAAGCGCCCCACGCTTTTTTTTCAATAATACCATTTATTGTTTATTTTAAACAATTTAAATTAAATTGATTTCCAAGGTTGTAAAGGTTAAATTAGTTTCCACGCGGTTTCTTTCATCATTGGAGCGTGTTTTTTAGTTTTTTTTAAACTATATTTATTTTTTATTTTTTAGTTTCATTTATCACCGATTGAAAGATGTACTCATATTATTAATCATTAATATTTCATTATTATGTATTTTATTGTGCTGAGCTGAGCGCCTATATAAAGGTTTTGATTACCTGTCAGTGAGTCAGTGCCAAAATTTGCTATTTTCACAGGGTCATATTTCAGGATCTACTGAAGCTTTATCTATGAAATTTGGCATACTGCTTTAGGACTAGTATATGATTACGTAGGTACAATTTTATCTCTGTACTTGCAATAGACACTGAGCTACAGGGGGTCAAAAGAGGGTCGAATTTATTAAAAATTCGATATTTAGAATTGAGGCAACTCACGCTTGACCGATTTCTTAAATTTCTTAATTTTTTGTTAATCTACATATAATACACAACCTGTGTACCAAATTTCATAATGCTAAAACAATGGGAAGTGGCCTAGAGGTTTTGATTACCTGTCAGTGAGTCAGTGCCAAAATTAGCTATTTTCACAGGGTCATATTTCAGGATCTACTGAAGCTTTATCTATGAAATTTGGCATACTGCTTTAGTTCTAGTATATGATTACGTAGGTAAAATTTTATCTCTGTACTTGCAATAGGCACTGAGCTACAGGGGGGTCAAAAGTGGGTCGAAACGGTTCGTGTAAATATAGTGCACGGCATGCGCCGGCCTGTGGAACTTGGCCGGCGCACTACCGTGCGCTTAGATCCGTTCAGCTGTTCTCGAGTTTTAGCGAGACTAAGGAACAGCAATCCATTTTTATATATATATAGAAGATAATAATAATGATTTATAATAAATTTTAATGCAATTCGAATCAATCTTTAGTAAGCCTGTTATAATTTCGTAGTTTTAATTGCCCGCAGCGGGTCGATCGTGTTTTTAATTGCTTCGTATAAATATCCGTAGTTGGCATGTCCGTACAACGCACTCCACATACAGATTAACAACCACTGGCAATTATTAGATCCAAGATAATATATTGATTTAAAAACCAAACAACACTATGACATGCTATGAATATATGAGGATGTACAGACTTATGCATTCATCTTCTATATATATAAAAATGGATTGCTGTTCCTTAGTCTCGCTAAAACTCGAGAACGGCTGAACCCATTTGGCTAATTTTATTCTTGAAATACTCCTGGAAGTCCAGGGAAGGTTTAAAAGGTGAGAAAAATTGGAATAATTGTCGGGAAAACCCTTAAAACAGCCCTTTTCTATTTCTCATACAAACGTTTTTTTTGACATTATATTTGACAACTAACTAATATGACAATCATTCTGTTTGATTGAAACAGGAAAAACCTGATTATTTATGGCCTCTAAGACGGAATAAAGTTCGCCCGGTCAGCTATACCTACATATATTACTCTTGACCAAACTAACGCGGACGAAGTCGCGGGCAAAAACTAGTCTATATATATAAAAATGGATTGCTGTTCCTTAGTCTCGCTAAAACTCGAGAACGGCTGAACGGATTTATGTTATCTTAGTCTTGAAATGTTCGTGGAGGTTCAGGGTAGGTTTGAAAGCTGAAAAAATTTGATTCATTTCCGGGAAAACCCTAAAAACAGCCTTTTTCTATTTCCTATACAAACGTTTTCTTTGACATTAGATTTGACAACTAACTGATATGTCAATCATTCTGTTCGATTGAAACAGGAGAAACCTGATTATTAATGGCCTCTAAAACGGAATAGAGTTCGCCCGGTCAGCTATACTTACGAGGGGAGGTCAAAATGTTCGCGGAATGGAGGGGATGGAGGGGGTTGATTTACTCGTCCAGGAAGTAACTTGTTCAACACCTCATTAATAGTATATATACCAAGTTTGAACCAAATCGGGTCATTAACTTTTGAGTTATTGACCTGCAAACAAGTGAATCGGGAAGAAGTCAGTGAGTATGTCGAAAATTGAACACCGCGCCGTTATTAAGTTCCTCACCAAGCAAGGAAAATCCACTCAGACGATTTTTGAAGAGCTGTTATCAGTTTACGCGGTCTCTGCCCCTGGTAAAACCATGGTTTACAAGTGGCATGGACTTTTTAAACAAGGGAGAGAGTCCATTGAAGATGACCCCCGCTCCGGACGACCGATTGAGGCCACCACACCGGAAATCGTCGCAAAAGTAGAAAAACTTATATTGGAAGATGCCCGGTTGAAGAAGAAACAACTTGCAGCAATGGTTGGAGTATCCGAAACCAGCATTTTAAATATCCTACATCATCATCTTGGGATGACTAAGGTCAGTGCAAGATGGGTTCCACGAATGCTCACGCCACTTCAAAAGAGCGAGCGTGTCGAGTGTTCTCGCCAGTTTTTGAAGCTCTGTGGGGAGAATAAGGATGAAGTTATGGACCGGATTGTTACTGGTGATGAAACCTGGGTTCACCACTATGAACCTGAATCGAAGTTAGAATCGATACATTGGCATAAAAAAGGCACAGCTCCTCCCAAGTAGTTTAAAGTGTCACAATCGGCCGGAAAGATCATGGCGACTGTCCTTTGGGATACAGAAGGTATTTTGCTGATCAATTATAAAGATCGTGTTGTGACTATAACGGGACAGTACTACGCTTCTTTATTAGATAGATTGAAAGAAGCTATGAAGGAAAAAAGAAGAGGAAAGCTGTCAAAAGGTGTGCTCCTTTTGCACGACAACGCAACAGTCCACACGTGCCATGTTGTGACGGCTGCCATTCACCGATGCGGATTCGAAAAATTACACCACCCACCATACAGTCTAGACTTAGTCCCCAGCGACTATTATTTGTTTTCAAAAATGAAAAAAAATCTGCGTGGAAAAAAATTAGAGAAGTCAAGTCCGCAATTTCGGCCTATTTTGATAGCCAAGATAAATAATTTTTTTCGATGGTATTAATAAATTATTTGTGAGATCCGAAAAATGTATTAAGGTTAAGGGAGGTTATATTGAAAAGGAAAAATAGTTTCGTGTTAAATTTCAACCCCCTTCCCGTTCATTCCGCGAACTTATTGACCTCCCCTCGTATATTACTATTGACGAAACTAACGCGGACGAAGTCGCGGGCAAAAACTTGTTTACAATACATATATATCACGAAACATTTAAATTATATTTGAATTGAACATAAAGTGGTTCTGTCTTCAACATTAATCTACGCCAGATTTATTTGTTGTACCGAGTTTAATGTCGTACAAGATGTCACTTTACATCACCTATTTCCAAGCTTACATAATTCTGTCATGTCGACTTCTTCCTCCGATTTAATAGAATCATGTTCAAGATGTCTCCTTATTCAAACGTAATAAAAAGACAATGTTATACAGATTTTAGAATTTCCATTATTCAGTTACGAAAAAATTACCATTGTTTATTATTACATCTGAATATGTAAGAATATAAAAATAATGTTTCAGTCAAGATTATAACAATATTATTTACTTTCATAATTACTATTATTTATTGCCGAATATATAAACTAATAAGTATAGTAAACGCTGATAGTAAACGCTAAATAAACTAAGTAACTTTTACTTTATCACAATAATTACGCAACACAAACACGATCACGGAAACATCTGATAGCTCTTACTAATCTTAAAGCAAGCAGAAAATAATAAATTACATCTGTATAGAATATATTTCTAACACAATATAAAAATTGTTTCTTATACATTCAATATTATCGGGCAAACGATTTATCATTACATAAAAAACAAGGCCGTTGGGAACTTTGGAAGGCTTCTTTCAATAAGAACAACTTTAAGCGAAAAAGAAATTCATATTGAACTTTTCTTCGCTGCATAATGAGGACGCGCTCGCTGAATTATAATTTATTATCGACTAGCTGTCTGGAACTGAGGGAAACATGACTTGACACATAACAGATCAACACAGATTATATATAAAAAGATACCAAAATTGTCTAAGACTTGAACAATAAATATGACGAATTATTAAAAATTTTCAATTGTCTAAAATTACCACAAACGATTGCAAAAATTTAGAATAAAAAATGCAAAATCAGTGATTTAAATAATAAAATTATAGTATGTAATATATTTCATTTGGAAACTCAATATCGATGTAAAATTATTGTAAGAACTAGATCTTTTCGATTCTTGGACGTTTAATAAATTAAAATAATCCAAATTTTACCTCACTGCCAGAAAACCAATGAAAAGACTATGTATTTAACTAACATGTATTTATATTTTAATACCGGTCATACTTAGTGTAAAACATGACGAATCCCACTACTAATTTTAATTAATCTTGTTCCGTAATAATATATCTTGTACGTATAATACCCGTTCCTTTTATACGGTCGGGTTCTAAATATAACAGTCATTAATAATACTAATTTTGTACACCAGTTAATAAAGATCTTATTCTAGTTAACCAATAAAATGAATTTATAGAACTCCTACAGACATATTATGTAAAAAAATGGGTCATATTTTTTTCACACGCTTCCAAAACGCTCGGAACTCGATACTTTGCATATTAAATGTATTCCAAGTTACAAACGTGCGATCAAATGAAATATGCGATCAAGCACGTTCTAAGACGAAAATACTCTTTAAATAAGAAATGAACACAATTGCAATATTCTTATGAAAAAGATATTATATCTCAGTTTACGTGATCAAACCTTTTTTATCAATGATAGTTTGAAATATAACGTCATTGTTATTTGAAATAATTGCGAATGAATTGACTGAAACGTCGCGTCTGTTAAAAGTGTTGAATTAAATAATAAATAATAAAATGATTAGGAAAGGATTCAATACGAGATGTTTACTATTCAGGTTGCCAAAGATCAAATAAATATTATTAATTAATGACAGCATTTAAAATATATACGTCAATGTTTTTGTGATATAGGAGTTTTGGTTCAAAATCCAATGAATGTAAGGATCTGCAGAAGACAGAGCAACAGAAGAAAAAAGAAGCAGATCCTTGTGCTCAAGTAAACAAACCGAAAGCCAAGAAGTACCCGCCCGTCAACCTGCACGGACCACAGAGGTTCACGCCCAGTGAGAAGAGACCTTACTCACCGTTCCATTTCAAAGGACAGGTGATAATCATTAGGGCTTTAGATATTAAAGAGGAATATAGATCTTATATATGTTATTATAGTGTAATCACGCCCTGTCTCTTGTGTATGAGGGTACGGGTTCGAAAGCTGGTAAGTGTCAATATGATTTTTCCGAGTCATTTATACTAAATTATTTAGACACCATTGACTGATGTAGGAAAACATGGTGAGGAAACCTGGACTTATAATTTTCAATTATAAGTTTGAAATCGCCAACTGGTGTTGAGAAAGCGTGGTGATTAATACTCAAACCTTCTCCATATGAGAAGTGGCCTTTGCTCAGCAGTGGGCTCTGATAGGCTGATGATGATGATTGGGCATACAGACATTGCTTATATCACGAACATACATATAATGTTCTATATACACAAAACATATTTTGCATTAATCTTTAGATATTTCAAAACAAACAACTATACAGCCGAACACTTTTTCAGAATGTATATATGAATAGGGAATTTAATGCATTTCCATAATCCGGCTGGTGACGTAACAAAGAACTAAACAAAATATTCAGATATTTAAATAATCTGGGCAGCAGATTGTGGGATTTTATTCAACCAGATACAAAAACATTTAATGGAAGCACGAACTATATTGATAAAATATGTTATAAAATAATCTCGTATCATATTATTTTAAAGATGAATACTTATCTTTGGATAAATCGTTTGAACACTTTGATTTTGTGCTTATATTGTAAAGCCATTTAATAATTCGATTGTTCCTTATAAGTTTATCAATTTCAACATTATCGAAGACCGGGGCTTAGTTTAATAGCAAAAGCATTTCATTATTTAAATCTATCGTGGATTCAAACCATAAACATTTTATTCATAAACAAATTTAAACTTTAAACCTAAAGAAAAACGATCGAAGTTTAAATGAAGAAAGTACGACAAGAGCGGCTCCCTAGTAATTAAAACTGTAATCTGTATGCCTAGAACTAGTTTGTATCGTCGGGATAAAGAAGAGTTTTCTAGCCTTCCTTTAATTATATACGTTAATAATATTGTAAATTAATATGTGGGAATACTTATAAACTAAAAATTATCACCGCTCCTTATGTAGTGTGAAGGAAACTTAGGTAAAATTTTCAGAGGGGGGGATTCAGAATTGTTTACAGTCCCGGACATATCCCTACTAATATTATAAATGCGAAAGTAACTCTGTCTGTCTGTCGGTATGTTACGATTTAAATGAAATTTGGTATAGAGATAGAGTTGACCTTGAGAACATAGAATAGTTTTTATCCCAGGCTTTTGAAAAGTTCTCTTGAAAACGCGATATAACCGAACTGCACGCGGGCGAAGCTGCGGGCGGAAAGCTAGTCAATATATATTTATGTTACTCTAATAAGATCAGCCAAAGACACCTATATTTAGACAAACGTGACTTAAATTGTAATAAAAGTACTGAAATTGGAGATTAAGTATAAATCCCATTACAAGTGACTTTCGTATAACATTAGCAGTAACTTAGGTCGAATTAAATAGAAGTTTTGTATCAGATAACTCTTACGTAATTAAAATCCCTTTATTTGTACCAAAAAATAAAATCCACATAAGAAAGACAATAGCTACGAGAGTAAATATCAAAACTTTAAATAATTTTGTATATAACTTCCATATGCATGTTTTTATAATAACAAATATATGAATTTAGATAACAATATGTAGTAATACTAATAGATGTATTTAAGACCTTATATATGTTAGCCACAAAACGGTTTCATGTTCAATCTCACTTGATCCAGCCGGCTTTGTTAAATAACATTCGAACACATCTCTTAATGGAATCTCTTCGTGAAGATTTTGTCCACATCAGAATACTCATCTTGTTAGGATCGGTTTTATCCTTTAAATGTTCATTCAATTTAGCTAGTATTGTGAAACAGTATATATAGGAATATTTAAAATCTATTTTATTCTATGCAGTAAATAATACTCATGAAATGACCCAGATATTATCTCGTGTAAGCGTCAGAGGTACTTCCTTCAGACTCCCGAGTACATTTCCTTTCACGTTTTATCTCTCTTTTAATACAGTTTACGTTAATGAGTTTGAGTTTTCTCTCTTTCTCGGGTGTTGGGTGTAATATTCGAGGTGCTACATTATAAGGTTATTTAGCGAATTTGAATGAAATGTTTAGTTATTTCAATAATTAAAAATTATATGTTATTTAGTCCACAGTGGAGTGGGTGGTCGCTCGAGCTGATGACCTTCTCAACTGGGGGAGGAGGGGCTCCTTGTGGCCTTTGACCTTCGGCCTCGCCTGCTGCGCGCTAGAAATGATGCACTATGCTGGTCCCAGGTCATAATATATTTTTGTAATCGAGTATGCAACACTAACCAATCCCCCTTTTATTTTCAATAATCTACTTTCGTTCCAATATGTCTTAGAAAACTAAAACAATTTTCATATAAAAGCCAAAAGGCCGAGTGTTGTCGTTTGAGTGAAGTGTTCCATCTCGTAGGCGAGGTCTGAGGTCAAGTATTTCTGCTTAATTAGCGCCCTCAGCCAGCTGGGGATTAACGCTTTATGTCACGATTTAGGAATGCACTCCATCCTCTAGAAGAACGTGATGTTTTTCTGCACAACATTTACGACTCTTCACAAATAGTCAAACTTATGTGATTTTTCTGTTCTTTTATTTTGAATCAAGACACTATACTAGTCGTAAAAGCAGAAAGTACACATAAATTAATCAGTCAGTTTTGATTCAGATACGACATGGATCGCTTCGGCATGGTGTTCCGTGGGACTCCGCGTCAGACGGACGTGATCATCGTGGCGGGTACAGTCACCAACAAGATGGCTCCAATCCTGCGCAAGACCTACGACCTCATGCCGGATCCCAAATTCGTGGTGTCGATGGGCAGCTGTGCCAACGGCGGCGGCTACTATCACTATACTTACTCCACCGTGCGAGGAGCTGATAGAATCATACCAGTATGTAATCTAGTTACCTTTTTACAATTTAAGAAGAGTTCTTCTTAGTCCTATGTTCTCTAAATGGAGTAGAGGGCATTCGGAAAAGAACAGTCGATCAGTTAAAAAAAATGTAACGCAAAATATTTTGAACTATATTGAAGATGTTTTGTTTCTGTCCGTGTTTTGTGAAGTAATTATTTTAAAAATTTCTTTTTCGTATAAGTAATGAACACTTATCATATGTTTTAACATGCCAGGTCGATATCTACGTCCCAGGCTGTCCACCGACGGCCGAGGCTCTGTTGTATGCAATGCTGCAGCTTCAGAGGAAAGTGAAACGCATGCGTATGGTACAGACCTGGTACAGACATTAAATAAACTTATTTAAAAGAATACTTCATTAATAACCCTTTTATTTTGTTCAAATGGTCCATCATATAATATTTTCAATATATTTTTCTTTGTTCGTGACGTTGTTAATCATTATTATCGTCTGAGATTAAATAGCATTAGCGCGGAACCCTTCCATAGTGCCTTATCACAGAGCAGATTACCTCCAGCGTAATTTAATAGCATATTCTACATAAATTTTCTATCATATCAATCAGTTAAATCGTGTGTGAAATTCAATCGAGATTAAACTACCGTGACGGGTAAACAAAAAGGAAAAATTATGTTATAATTAAAGAAGCAATTTAAAAAATTAAGTAATGAGCAGATGTAGGCCATTTTAAACGTGCTCATAACACATCTGCCTTATTATAGCTAATACTGTTGGAGGTATTAGTGAGGTGTACAGGATATGATTCATTATGCGAAGGCACGTACCGAGCCTTGTGAAAAATGTTCGAGTTCAAAGTAAACGAATTTTATATTAAGATAATATCTAAACTTTATTATGTGCATATATTTTCATAAAGGACAAATTCAAATTAGATATACAATTTTCTTTTTTTTATTAAACGAAATTACCTAATATTTTTATAACAGAAATGATTTCAAGAAGTTTTATGTTTGATGAAGTAAAAATGAAGTAATTACTTTTTTAATATAAAATTAAAAATATTAAGGAAACTTAAAGGCAAACATAAAGTTGCCACTAAGTGGTTTTCCTGAAGCGAGCTCTCCTTTAAAAGTTTTCTGAACACTGAAAAACATTTTAGTGTCAAATCGTAATTAGGTCAACGTGTGACATACGGAATGGAATTTAGCGATGGCTCCAAGTATTATCGCACGTTTCCATTAAAACGTTTCATACAAAGTGAGTTGTTTCACACATAATTACTTACACGTGAAGAAAATAAAAAAGCTTTTAGAGCCTTTTCCAGTTCAGAAAATGTCTTTATAAAGTTTAAGTGAATTCGAGGAGCGTTTTATGAAACAATTTCGTTACGCGAATGTACATAGCTTGAAAAGATCTTGTTTGGATTCATTCATTCAAATAATAGACATAGTAAGCATTCAAAGACTGTTTGTTATAAAGACCGGCTCATGCAGAGATTCGTCCCAGTTTGGGAAGTGGAAGTAGAGCAAAAATAATGGTTATTACTCTCAACGTGGATCCGAAGCACGCTGTATTACTTATGAACCGCTTTTATTGTATACTTTAACAGAGAGGTTTTGTTCATTTGTGAATGAATGAATGAACGAATGAATGGAAATAAAAATATAGTAATCCATTCGTTGGACAATATGAATATTAGCGGGACGAGTTGTATTTTATGATATAAAAAATCTTTTGACATTTAGGTATATTGTACTAGAAGACCCGGCGAACTTCGTATCGCCCTATAATCAAGAAATATCTGTTACGTTTTTTCATTTATATTTTTGGAGTTTACCTATTAAAGCCATAAATCTCCGTGTTTTGAAGTACGACAGAATGATTGACATATTAGTTAGTTGTCAAATCTAATGTAAAAAAAAAAGTTTGTATCAACGACTACTAATAAATTAAAAATTAATTAAAAAAACATTTTCCAGCGGACAAAATTGTGAATCTAAACCATTCCCAGATCCCCTTGAACACACACAAAAAATTTCATCAAAATCGTTCAAGTCGTTTGAGAGAAGTTCAGTGACATACACACTCACAGAAGAATTATATATATAAAGGTATACAATATATATAATATTATGATTTAAAACAAAGTACATAAACATTTTCAATAAATCTATTTTCTATATATGATAGTCGTATATCAATCATCTCGGTTGAGTTTTCCTCTTAATGCAATTTTAAAGCCGATAAATATCTGGAACGCTTGTAAAATGAATTTCTGTGTAAACTCAAAACAACAAAGAGACAGGTCTTAGCTCTACGGACAATGGACTCGTAACATTTTATGAACTTTGAGTTTGACGCGAGAGAGGTGATAAAACGCAGCTGCCTACATTTAGTATTCGGATTTAAGATGTTTACCGATATATAACCATGGCTTATTAAATATTATATGTGATTTATTATATGCAGCTAGCGAGATAAGTGACGGATAATATTTTAATTTGATATTACTTTTATATTCAATGCAAGTTATTTTAGACGATAACGTTTAGAACTTTTATAATAGAATGTTATTTGCTTGAATGACCTCCTTGGTTGTTCATTCTACGTGACATTGGCAGAATATACTATGCAGTTTTGCATGAAAATAAAGAAAAAATATTTAAAACTAGCTTTCCGCCCGCAGCTTCGCCGCGTGGAGTTCGGTTATATCGCGTTTCCAAGAGAACCTTTCAAAAGTCTGGGATAAAAACTATCCTATGTTCTTTCTCAATGTCTACTCTATCTCTGTACCAAATTTCATTAAAATCAGTTCAGTGGTTTAGGCGTGAAAGCGTAGCAGACAGACAGACAGAGTTACTTTCGCATTTATAATATTAGTAGGGATATTCTTGAATATGATAAAGCATTATTCAATCTAGGTGTATTATTCTCGTTGCATCGGAAGTATTCTCACATAAAGTTCGCAGTAAATTGCCACCAGTACAAAAACCACGGTAACAATGAGACCGTAATCACAGTATACAGCACTAATGAGAAACTCGACTTTAGTCTTACATAACGTTGTAATTATGACGACATTCGCTTGTATCACTCACAGATCTACTTGATACACTTATTATGAAAAGATATCTTGAAAACCAATAAACAAATATACATACATACATGTTTTATTCCGGTAACGTTCGAATATATTGAAAGAGCTATTCTCATATTACCAAACAAATATTATGCCTCTAAATCCAATAAAAAAATATACAAGTTAATAAATATGTCATATAAAACCTTTTTTCATATTCTACCTATTTTTTTTTTTTTAATGTAACGGATGTTTACAACGCAAAGGTCAAGACGGTGAGAGCCAGACGTCTGTCAGACAAAACAATGCGGTGTCAGGAGATGAATCATCACAATATAGATTATATAGTACTTAAATACCACACTAGTGACGTGTTTAAATATGTTTATTTTTTCATAAGATATAAATCATATACGTAATTAATTTTTTTAACGTTTTCATTTAAAAAAATGTGATCGCGAATTCTAGATTCTGACTAATAGAATAATTATTTTATTATAATCATTGTTCGACATTTCATCTATTTTTTTTTTAGTTTAAAATGAACAATAGCATTAAGCCAGCAATACATGCATACATTATTTATATAACAACTTTTTTCTCATTTCCGTGAAGTATTATTCCGAAAGGGAAGATAATTACAAGGACATTTGCTTAATTTAGGGGCGTATTAATTAAGTGGTCCTGGCTGGCGTAACTTTATTAGGGTAACCTATTACGATCTTTGTCCCTAGTGTACTTCAATTCATCTTGGGTTTGACTAAAGCTGCTTCGATGTTTTATTTTATGTAATATATACTAGTTATTATCTTCAACTTCGTCCGTGTGAATTTGTGGAACAGAATTAGATGCATTTTTGTTATACTAAGTTATTAAATGAATTATACTGTCTTTGAAACTTCATGAGAAATATCCTACGTCCGCCTGCTTGTTCTAACCCACCTCAACATTTTCAGGAAATCGCAACAGCCTTTCTGGTATAAATAGTGTACCTAACTAGACTTTCTTATATATAAGTATAATAGAAGTTATTAAAATATCATATATATGTATGCGACGAACATTAAATTTATGAGTTTGTTCGTTTGATTGAATGAGATGATCTCAACAACTACTGATTCAAATAATGAATTATGGGTTAAATTTGTTGGTTTAAAATAGTCAATTAAAGAGACTCTGTAGTATACCATAAGGTTCACTTAAAGTTAAACTATAGAATTTTGCCATAACTACTATGTACAAAGATGAAAATCTCATAAATATAGCTATGATGTCTAAAATTATATGAATCCTAATATTGAATTATTTCCAGAGAAAAAATTACATTTTACTATAAAGAATTGTTCTCATTAGAAAATTTACTATTATTCTTAATAAATAATGTGCGTTATAAAACACAAATCTTGGATAAATAGTAACGGAAGACATACAAGTTATAGCGTTTTATAAGATTTAAAACTAGTTAGGAAATCCATTGAATCCAAGTTAGGTCGGATTCGAAATTCCAGTACTATACGAGATTTAGTTCGAGGAGAATGTTTTCATTCAGTTTATTTCAAACGATGTACAAACTTATATATTTTGTTATTTTAAAAATTGTTAACAACTTCAAATACAGTACCAAATCGTATTATTATAAGAGTGGTAATAATTTACTGAATCGTGTCTGCTAAAAATGAATCGATACAGGCCTATTCCAGTGTGGACGTCAAAGTTTACTGTTAATTTACATCGTAAAGTGTTTTTTTAGAAATAAATTAATATAGAAAATATCGATATATATATTATAGATTTAACATATATATTGAATTTCAATCTTATTTTTAAACTCAAAATAATATACATATATATTACATTTTTTTACTCAAAGATGAACTTATATGTACTAACGTTGTTTTACAATACACTGAAGAATGGTTTCCTCTCCATAATATTTGATTACGCAACTCGACTTCAAGCGGATATTATTCTTTCAATGCCCGGTCTTTCAGATTGTGGAAATAACTGACAATGTTATTATAGCGAAAATAAATATTACTTATATATAATCTTTATGTTTACTTCAAATTGTAAGTTTTATTTCACATGGGATGTATACTTAGTAGTTTGCATAAAGCAAAACAATGGTAGTTTAAAATCTCTATCATTAATCTTCTAATTTCACAGTATGAACGCACATGTATGAATTAAAAACTGTGTACTGTAAGTTTAGTTTCAGGACGAAAACACATACTATGGTCACTGGTAAAGCGTATTTTATTGAAATCAAAGTCGTATTGAATTTAAAGGAA